GAGGGAAGTCTTTTCCGCTTCATAGAGGATTTCAACAAATGCCACCCGTCAATAAAATTCACGCACAAAATTTCCAAAACTAGCATTAACTTTTTGGACGTTACTGTCACGGTCGAAAATGACCGCTTGTCAACAAACCTTTACAAAAAGCCTACAGACCGTCAAATGTACCTACATTTCAACAGCAGCCACCCAAAGCATTGCAAAACGGGTATTCCATATTCTCAGGCCTACCGGTACCGAAGAATATGCACCGATATGCGGGAATTTGACAGACACGCGGAACACCTAAAGCATTCCTTATTGAAACAAAATTATCCGGAAGACATTATTGACGATGCCATACTACGTGCTCGCAACGTGAACAGGAATGATATAATTAAGGGACCAAACAAAGTACCTAAAACGACTTCCCAAACGAACCTTGTACTAACTTACTCCTCATCAGCGCCACGAATCAACAACATACTTTCCCGCCATTTCAACATAATCAGGCAAAGCAAACGACTAACTTCTATTTTCGCGAAGCCACCTCACGTGGTGTACCGCCGGGATAAAAATCTGAAGGACATTCTTGTCAGGGCAAAAACAAACACCCCCAAAATTCAATCAGGGTGCCATCCCTGCGGAAAATCTCGATGCAAGGTATGCCCACAGATGCTCACAACACGTGAATCCAAAGCGAACTTCTCGGATTTCAAATTCTGCATAACTGAAAGCCTTAATTGTGACTCCAGTAACGTAATATACATGCTACATTGCAACATCTGCGGACAAGAATATATCGGCCAAACAGACACGCCATTTCGGCTGCGGTTCAATAATCACCGGTACCACGCCACTTCACTGCCGAAGCTACCTTTATCTAGACATCTGCGCCTGCCAAACCACAGTTTTAAAAATATTAGCGTAACTCTTTTGCAGTCCGGTTTTTCAAACAGACGCGAGCGCGAACAGCGTGAGGCATATTTTATTTTCAAATTTCGTACATTAGTAGCCGGTATCAATGAGGACCCCGGAAAACTCAACTGCCTCCGAGAAGTAAGCCAGGAGAAAATTGGTGACAAAGATTGATAGCTGGAGACCATGCTTTTTTCTGACTGACTCGTACGTGTACACTGTCCTGTTTTTTTTTTTTTTTTTTTTTTTTTTTTTTTTTTTTTTACATGCACATACAAAGTGTTTACGTTCGCCTACCACTTCATGACCGTTGAAGGGAAACGGACGAAGATTAAAGGTAAATAGCCGACCGACCCATTAACGAGAAACCTTTCCTTTACACACACCGCCCGCCGCCCGCCGAACGACCAAACGACCAATTACGGGGAAACCCCTTTCTTTAGGCACGCCGTCCCGGACCCTCCCGGCACCGCGGCGACAATCTTGGGTGGCCCGACACACGCCAAGAACTGAACAGCACGTGATATGAACCATAGGTGGATGTAGACGGACAGTTGGCTTCGTTCTCAGTGTGGACAGTGGTTCTTCCTCTTTTTTACTTTCTTTCTTTTCTTTCTTTTTTCGTCTTTTTTCTCTCTTTTTTTTTCCTTCTTCCAGTTCCCTCTCACTCTCGCAAACGTCTTTCAAGGCGAGAGGGACGCGGCAGCAAGGAAGTTCATGTCAGTATAACTCATCTCCTGATGAAGGGAGGTCCCCTCCCGAAACTGTTGGGAAATAAATATATTTATCCTTGTTGACAACGCTCCCGTTGTGCCATATCCCATACCTATATATATATATATATATATATATATATATATATATATACACACACACACACACACACACACACACACACACACACACACACACACACACACACACACCTAAGGGCTTGTTTTTCCGTGTTTTGACACAATATTAATGAGATCTAATATATATATATATATATATATATATATGTGTGTGTGTGTGTGTAAAAGTACATGGGCTTCCACATAACAACTCGTTTATTCAGCCGACGTTTTGATGAGCACCCAGTCTTTTTCAAGGCATAATACTATTTGTGTGTGTGTGTGTATGTGTATGTACATATATATATACACACACACACACACAGTCGGGCCCACATATAACGGCCCCACTTAAAACGAAATTTCGCTAAAAACTAACAATATTCGCGTGACCGTGAAAATATACATAGGTTCAGTGGCACAAGATCGCACTTACAACGAATGTTTCCGAGCGCCGCTGATCGGTTACAGCGAACGGAGTCAGCGGTCTGTAGACTTCCCGATAAACCGATTTCGACCACCAATCAGGCATCGGCGAGGTGCCCATACATTCTTATTGTTAAACGCCGACCCTGCCTCCGCGCACCTCTAGTTGCTGCTCTCCCCGACCGCTTTTTGTTACGCACCCCTCCGTCCTTTGTCCCCCCCGCTACACTGAGCAATCCGCATCGCCAGACGAGGCCCGTGTTTTCACACTGCCACCGATCTTTCGAAGACCAGTCGGCCATCTACCCTGTTTTGATCGCTGGTACTGTCGTTGGCGTCGCCGGCCTGGAGTGACCAGAAGACCATTTGCCAACATCGTCCGGCACCGTCTGTATCCGACAGCCTGTGTCTAGTGCACGCGCGTACGCTACCCCACTGACTCTGATAATTTGCGATTTGTTTCGCGTTTAGGACTTGTTCTCGCTCACTTCGCACTCGGCTCAGCATGCCTTCCGCGCACGTGCGGAAGTGCGAAAACGGCTCTTAATTTGCGCGGAACGAATCACGAAATATCGAAGTTCATGAGGCAACGCAAACCCGCCGGCCCAACAAAACGATTTTTGACCACGGCCGCCGATTATACGAACACCGCCGCCTGCACCGATTTAGGCAGCCATGAACTCTTTCCAAAGTTTTTATATGTGCGAGTTTCCCGGACCTTCCAAGCAAGCTACCCAACCTGCCTCCTTCCCGTGTGTTTCGGTTTTCAAGGTCGCCCTCCCGCCGCATTATTCCCTCTCTTTATCGCAACTCCTTGCTTTTCTCTCGCAAGTCTGCTCTGCTCTCTTAAACACAACCCCTTCGCCCGTCTCCACCGATCCGCGACGCCCGCCACGCTGCCTCGAATTATTTTCGTTTTCTGAATGAAAACGGGCCCAGAGCTGTTCCACGCGTTCTAGCATGTGTGTCGCGTGTGCACGTCTTGCTCGCTCTTGGTGTGCCTGTGTGGTCATGATGGCCGACGGGATGATTAGCATGCTTTTTCTTGCCGCTAAACAAAACATCGTAAGTGTGACCGCATGGCTTGAGCGCAATCCGCGCGTTAGGTGCCGCGTTGCGGAGCGCTTGCTCATAGTTGTTGACCACCTGGCAGCCAACTTGACGCTTTGGGCGTCCCGGTATGCAGCTGTTGAGATGGTGAATATTTCGTGGGTGGCGGTAACGACTACATGCGCGCGAAACTGTTTTTGCGAGGACGACTTCATCGACGTCGGGCCCGATGCCGAACCCGAACAGGACCACTGCGGCGGCGATTTGTGGCAGCGCGTCGTTGACTCCGACTTGGGAGAACGGGTGGGACTTTTGTTGCGATGATTTAATTACGGCTGACGATAATGCCGACACTGCGGAACCGTGCACGGATTAGGGCATAGTGAATGAAGTACGTGGCAAGAGCGATCTGGAGGAATCGGTTTGCGAGAACGACAAAACTTCGGAGCCAGTGCCTCATGCAGCTTATGCCACTGGCCTCGGCGAAAGAGCACCCTGCCGTTTTAAATGAACTTGAGACCGCCCTTATCGCTTCTGCTATTCGAAACACATACACCACGGACTTTTGGGGGAATAAAAAGTTTATGTTTTCACGTGCAACTTTTCTTTAAAAGTTGTGTTTCATTTCAACACTGTCGAAATTTGGGCTTGTTGGTGCATTGTGACGACTGAAAATAGCGCTAAGAAACGGGGACACAAGAAGAGGACACACGGCACAGGCGCTAACTTCCAACATAATGTTTATTACCACTGCACGCTCGCCTATATCACCAAAAAAATATATCACATGACATGAATGATGCGCACAAAAAATTAAAGTCTTAGAAAATACAATTCTTTATCACTAAGCGTAAGAGAGGGAGTGCTGACGCACTTAGACCCCAGTGAAGCGATAGCCTCAGCCTCAATAATCTCCCTAGTAAGCTTATCAAACATTCTCTTGATAACTGTGCATGCATTGAATATCGGCGCGCAGCCGCAGGATTTACAATGTATGGCCAACCAACTCCCCTGGCCATTTTTCACATTATTACAATGTTCTCTTAATCGATCATTAAGGCAACGGCCCGTCTGTCCAATATACTCTTTACCACAAGAAAGCGGGATACGATAAACAACGCATATGATGCAGGGAACATAAACAGTTCGATGCTTCTTACTACACTCTTTGGGTTTTCTGTCACGGTCATGAAGGCCACAAAGGCTGACCAACTTCTTGGGAGCCGAAAAGACAACCCTAACTTCAGAGCGCTTAGCTAATTTCTTTAGGTTGTGCGATATCTTGTGAAAATATGGTATGACGACTAGGTGCTTCGGTTTCTCGGCATCGCGACTCGCTGTACATCCTGGGTTGCAAAGCGTACGAAGCAAGCCTTCTGCAACTGAAGTTTGGACATGCATAGGATAACCTGCTTTCAACAACCAGTCTGACTGATTATGAAAACTATTGGCGATTTCGTGCTTACAAGATTTACTACGAACTTCGGTATACAGCGAACGGATGCCGCATCACGCTCAGGTTTGTTATAAGCGGGCTCGACTGTATATGCATACACACAGGGATGACACCCACATTGGCACGAATCACCACCCATGATACCCTTGAGGTGTTCCTCATATCCTCTAAAAGAGGTGATAGAGAAATGAACAGCTACAACAGAAGACAGATAGATCCCAGCTTGCAATAAGAACTAGGGCCACACGTTTCAGCTTGGTCAGTGCACCACCTGAACAAAGCACATGGGTCGCGATTCTCAAAATTTTCTTCTAGAACTTTGCAAAGGGGATCACCTTGAGCAGTTGGTCGGCCCCCGCATAGTCCTGCTGAAGTGCTCTGTGTGCCCACAGAGAGTTCAGGGGCGCCCAGCAGTCGTGCTCTGGGCCGTAGGTGCGCCCCAATGCCTCCACCCGGTCGGCCAACTCTGGGTGACGGGCGAGCAGACCGACGAGACCACCAAACGGGCAGCGTCCCACGGCGGCCCACTCGCCCGGTGCGCTCTCTAGCTCGGACAGCAGGTCAGCTGCTCGTCCGCTGTGAGGGTGTACGATAGAAGGATGTGTTGTAGGCTGTGCTGGCTAGAATGGCTTCTTCTTGTTCATAACTTCCGTCGACACTTGGTGTCACAGTTTGCCTAGGAAACTCAAATAATTGGGCACATCAAAGCAATGTAGTAGGAACGGGTAAATATAGTAAATTCGAGGTTAGAAGCAAATTCAAAGCGAATAGTGATTTGGTTGAACAAATTAAAATCAAGGAGTCCAAATAGTATTTATAACATCATAAAAAAAAGTTTATTTGTCATGACGCAACTTGTCCAATATTTTAACCTATTAGACAAGGCTTATGTGAATGCCACCATTTCTTTTTTTTTTTTAGGTTTGAAGCAAACGGAAAAAACTTTGAATAATAGCAGGATTTTAATAGCAGGATGGTATAAGTTATAGAAGGTAAAATACATTAAGCTTAAAATTTCCCACACTTAATGCACACATGCCCGTATAGCACGCATTTAAACTTACAGTTTGAAAAAAAAAAAAACAATTAAGGTGCTGATGATATGTACACTTAGTATAAGCTTGAAACGTGACTTGCAGCAGTGTGGGTTTTTCCTGGTAAGGTGGCTCCGTGGCATAGCAGCGCCTCGCTGCAGTGAAACCATTTTTCTAATGCGGTTTCATGTGGGTAAAGAAAAACGAGAAGGGCAAAAAAAAAAAGGGAGCCTATTCGTTTGAACATGCCAAGCACTTTAATATTCGCCAATGTCTAGAATGTAGTTGGATGCTAAGCAAGCAGTACTGCTTCATGATATGGCAATAATTTGGCCTTGTTTGGCAAATGCGAATTGCAAGAGGTGCAATCACTGGCCCCTTGTGTGTTTTTTTTCTTGCTGCATATGTGTTAGTTCTGCACAAATGGAGTTAAACAGTGCTCATTAAAAAACAGAACAAGGTGTTGCTTAGCTAAAAACAATAGACGCTATGACAAAGTTCTCAGGACTTTCAGGATACGGTAAAACCACGCTTATGCATTTCTCACCCGTTTTCTCCGGTGTATTGTTTCGGTGTCTTGTCCCAGCAAAGAATCTAGACACTCATGTATCAGTATCAACTTTTCAAATGTTCCTGCAATGTTTCTGTCCTATATGTCTTGAACTGTCGCTCAGCTGCACATTGGGTAAGTATGCAGAAGAGGTTCAGCAATGAGTTTGGTGGTGTGAACTGCCACAGGTGAAAACACCAGACTTTCATCAAGAGATTTAAACCTTACACTGACGAATAAACTCTTTCTGGCTAGGGACACATGCGATGTGTCAGAGACACTATTAAGTCATAGACATTTCCCAAATTTTAACGGAGCGTTTGTGAAATATGTTTCTTGGCTACTGCGTTTTTATTTTTAGTGGTCTTGTGAAAAATGCTTCAGGGGAAATTTACTGTACAGAGTTAAATGGGTCATTTAAATTGTAGTAGCATTCCAACTAGTAAATCAAGGTCAAGCTGGATTATCCTTGAAACCGCGACCCTTTTCCTAAATGTGCCCCCAACCCAGCCTGACCTGTGCACGTAAGCGTTGCAGATATGGTTGTCGAAGGACAGCTGCCGCAGAAGGCGTTCGGGCAGCTGCGGGCGCAGCTTGACCAGGGACTCCACCTCGCCCAGGGATGCCAGCTGCTGGACGAGGGGCCGCAGGGCTTGGGCTGAGACAGAATTCAGCTGGCCAGACGCCGTAAGCTGATCCAGAATCCGGAGGGCTTCCCGCGTGCGACCCTGCCGGCCCAGCGCCTGCAACAGCTGGGAGCCCTTCTGCATGCCGGACACTTCATCCCTGCAACGCAATGCGAGCAGGCATCTTTCTCAGCAGGCGTTATCTTCTGCTCGCCAATGAGAATTTACAGACAAGCGCTGGTACACCCAACAGAAAAGCTTTATAGATTGCTGGCTCGACAACAAATGATAACTATTAGCCATCACAGCAATCAATTATGTCACAGGGACATAATTCATTACTTCTTAAACTGTAACATTGTGAAAAATTCAATTACAATCTTGAGATTGACTACTGGTAATCAATTACTTCCCCACTCCCTGCCTAAAATCGGAAGCAGTCGATCGACAAATTGACATGCCTCTTCTACGGCTCCACACCTGACAGCTCATCCGTTGTTCCGAAGGAATCGCCTATATTGACGATTTTAAGCAAGCGGCGGTATGTAGCTCGTTGTATAGTTTGAGCAAACTTGCATTATAGATGCCACGGCAATAAAATTTTGAAGGAAAGTAACACAGGAGTAATCAGTTACATTTCTTGAGGTGTAATTGGCCACTGTAATCAATTATATACTAAAAGAACTGTAATTCTAATCAGTTACTGATACATTGTAACACATACAAGTCTGTTCTAGTCTAGCTGGTGTCAGCATATGCTGCAATATCAACTACAAGCTGAAACATTAATCTGAAAATTTATGTTAGCAGACGAAGGAATACAGAGTTCTTGAACAATAAAGTGTCCCACAAACTTTTGCTGCTGGGTGTGCATCAAATTTGATCCTGTCATACCAAACAGGAACTCCTATGGCCAACCTGATACATTCCACACCTGGTACATGTCCCTCAATTCCCTTGGCAAGCTTATCTTGTGTGGCAGTATCAATGTGATCTGGGTGTCACAATATGCACTCTTTGATCGCGAGCAAACCTGACAGGGATGAAATTTCTCAAAAACAATCGACTCCTTTCTGCTGCTTACACAAGGAAACCCAGTGCAATTGAGAAATGCCACCTCAATCGAGCTTGATCCCAATAAAATAACGTCTCGTGAGACAACCACATAACACAGGCCTCGCATCTGTCTTACATCATTTGTGCATGCAGACAGAAAGATACAAACACACAGTTTGTTAAAAATAAGGGCTGATGAGTAAGCAACACACAGAACCAATCTCGACCCGTGCTGACAACTCTCGCTCATGCTTTCAACATTGACAACAGCCGCACCCCTCCGCCTCCTCCACACACATACACTACCTCCAAATTGGCCAATGCACATTCCCATACCAAGGGGCTGCCCGAACCTGTGCCAGAGGTCCAACGCTGCATCGAGGTCCGAGGTAAGGAGGGTGCCAAAGCTGTCCCGCTTCGCACCCTCCTCCACAGCAGGCACCGTGAAGGGGACGGGACGGCCGAGGCGCTGCAGCAGGGCGGCCAGCAGTCGCAGCGTGCTTGCGCTGGGCTGCACATTCTCCTCCTGCATTTGGGCCCAGGCGTCCAGGCCGCGATCGGCGTCCCCTGCTGCATCTGCAGGTCCCCAGCCGAGTCACGTACACCACACATTCAAGAGGAGATGCCAGCCTTAAAATTTTCTCTATAGGTGGGTGAACTGAATGGAATATAGTATACACCCAAACCTCGATGTAATGGACACGAATATAATGAAATATTGGTTAGAATGAAGTGAATCAAACTTAGTCTTGCAATAAATATAGTGTTAAGAATATACCTTTACAACGAATTTTCGGATATAACGAGCACATTTTCGTGTAGGACACAGCTTTGTTATAATGAACGAATGTGTATATCAAAATTGTAAACTCCCCTTGAATATATATTCTCGACAGAAAATGTACTTTATACATTGAATTACCTATTTATATAGACTTCCTTGCCATCCTCTTCAGATTCAATACATTAGGATCTACTGTAGATTTACCACTTTTCTTTCTGCACATTCCAATTCTAATTATGTATTTAACCCTATGCATTACTTGTCAGCCCCTTTCAACAAGCTCAACAAGGCCACAGCGCCCTGCTGTCGAGCACCACATGCTTTTGAAACATTACTGAAAGACTTACAGGGACACTAGAGACAAAATACAACCTTGTAGTGCTCGTTTCGAGCCAAGAAAATGCTCAGTTTGAAAGAAAACTTATTGTTTCCGTGTTTTAGTGTTCCACATCTGTTAGCACAATTCAAACCATCTGCCTCTCAAGAAATCGTTATGTCAGCATTCCCCAGCGCTGCTTGCTTTGGACTTCCACGGAGCAACGGCGGGGCGTAGTAAAACTTTGTAACATCGAGGAGTTCACTGTATGAAAGTTCGTTACAGGAAGGTTCAACTGTTAACAGACGTGAAGGTGAGTAAAAAATGTTTCACTGACTAATTATACATGATCATCAAGAGTTCTAATTTGGGGAACAACATTATAAGAAAATCGACAACTCACCATATGCCCTGAACAGGGACTGGTACAAGCTGTCTCTGTTGACGTCGAAGAGGTTCCTCGTGATTGCAACGAGCTGCTCCAGCTGCGTCACCTGCAGGTGTAAGCCACGTTAAAACCAGCATTTCCTTGAAAGGTCATTTCGAATACGCACCATGCCACGCCTCAAAAAGTTCTCGCAGATCTCGCTGAGCCGCTGATGCCTTGCACGCAGTCCGGGAGTCTGCGTAAAGATCACGGCCCCGCCGAATGACAAAATTAAATTCCAAAGTTCTACGCACCAAACGCACAGGCAACTATAACAAGGTCTGCCTTAGCAGAGGCTATGCATTACTTCCGGCCGGCAGAGTTTCTTCACAGTGAACTGAAACGTAGGCACGCAGGCATTCCTACATTACAGGGGAGGCACAATTAAGGAAAACGTTTCTCGAATTCCACACCTCGACAAGAACAGGAACTATGTGCCCAGAAAAGCATTTGCAGACCTATATGTACAACAAGAGAGATCAATGGAAGCTTGCAGCATGTGCGGTTACGCCCTATATGAGTTGCCACATATTGTAAGTACTCAATGTTTCGCCAACATTGCAAAATGATGTGGACATAGAAAAAATTACTGATGTATACATTGTTTCAGTTACTGGTATTCTCTAAACCAATTTAATGTTTGCCAGGGTAATCATTCAGGCTTGGGGCCCCTTTGACCATACTGTCCGTAAAATTAACTAGACAGGACTTTGGCGATGAGCAAGGGTACAGAATGCAAGTACGAAACCAATAATATCGAAGGTAGTTGTTAGATTTAAGCAGCAGTTACATGTAACAGATTTCCATTTACTGAAGGTCTATTGAACATGAACACTCAAACCTCATTATAACAAAGTTGCATCATAGGCGAAAATAAGTTCGTTATTGCCAAAAATTCCTAATAAAGGTATATTTCTAATGCTATAATTATTGCAAGAATATTTTTCCTTTACTTTGTTATAACGAATATTTCGTTGCACCTGGGCTCGTTATATCGAGTTTTTTGAGTGTAGCTCATACGTTAGACTCTGTCAGGTCCTTTCTATAAAGCCCTAAAGGTGTTCGATGCCAGAAACCTTTCACTATACTCACAACACACTTCTTTCACTATGTCAAAGTGACTTCCAATATCTAATTACAATGTCAGGATACTTAAGCAGTGGTTGCGTCAAGTGATGACACACATTGTGCTCAGTTTCGTGCACTTAGTAACGACCCGCTTATCCCGCCCCTTAATCCTGGCTTCCCTGCTGGATATTTGATTTTAATATTTTAATTTACAGTGTACCGATAAGCTACCACACAAAAACAAACACACACAAACACACAAAGAACACACACTAAGTGAAATTACTCGTGATGGTGTAGCTGTATAACAGCATCCACATTGCATAATTCATATTCTTTCCACACTATGGTGCCTTGTAGTTTCATTGATTCAGTGCCATTTTCCGTACCTATTTAAACGTTGAACTTTTCCCGAATATCTCACCATACATATTTTTTATTCATTTAAACCCCCCAATTGATTGATTGATATGTGGGGTTTAACGTCCCAAAACCACTATATGATTATGAGAGACGCCGTAGTGGAGGGCTCCGGAAATTTAGACCACCTGGGGTTCTTTAACGTGCACCCAAATCTGAGCACACGGGCCTACAACATTTCCGCCTCCATCGGAAATGCAGCCGCCGCAGCCGGGATTCGAACCCGCGCCCTGCGGGTCAGCAGCCGAGTACCTTAGCCACTAGACCACCGCGGCGGGGCCATTTAAACCCCCCAATGCTGTCCTCCAATGCGGATAAAAATGTGATAAGCGACAGTAATGGTGAAACGTAGAATTGCCTAACGGTGTCAAAACCTCACATCTCATCACTTGGCCTGTGCGAATGGTGAATTTTACAATCGGAGCAAATTTGAAGAGAACTGCGATTTTGGTAGAATAAACTACCTTGAAATACACTCAAACCTCATTATAACAAAGTTGCATCTTGCACAAAAATAGGTTCGCTATATCCAAAAATTCAATAAAAGGTTTGCTTTTAACACTATAGCTATTGCAAGACTATTTTTGGTTTACTTTGTCATAACCAATGTCGCTATAACCAGGTTCGTTATAAAGAGGTTTAGGTTTATTAGCAGGATGTGACTCTCTGCAAATGAGCTTTAACCACACCAATATTTTTTTATTATTTTATCTGTAAATGAGTTAGAAGCTAAAAATATGTTACGTTTTCAAATTTACAATACTTAGAGCATATAAGCCAATATAACACACTTTTAAACTTAAAGTGTCAATCTATGTGAGGCTAATAAGTTTCTTTAACCTTAAAGTGAGGCTTTGCAGCAGTGCATAATTCTTTTGAAAGGGTGTTTTCACAGTTTTGCATCCTTCACTGCAGAGAAACTACCTTCACAAAAGGTCATGTGTAGATTAATCTATTTGTTCATTTCGAATGCTTCAAAATTTTCAATAATTCAAATTCAAGTCTCAGCAAATTTGAATGGCATAATAATTGTTCGAACATTCGCGACATTCGAATACTCGCAGAAGCCTACTCATCACGCATCACAGCGCATCACACTCGTGCATTGCCATGCGTCGTCATCGTCGTCACCTCTACGAACACTGTTCAACTGACCTCGAGAATTTTCTGCGCCTGGCGTACGTGGCCGCACTCGAGGAAATAGGCGGTCAGGTCGAACAGGGTGTTGGCCTCGCCGTGCACCTCGGTGCTGATGTCCACCACTGCAAGAAATGCAAATCGAGAAAATGGCAATGATTACAGGGGCCCTCTGCCACACATTTTCAGCAAGGCCAGAAAGCGCTACTTGTTGCTAGTCGAGGCTCCCGAGAACGTGTGAGCCGTATATTATAGCGCAGCACGAGGCCCCAGCATGCACAATTTACCCTCTAAGTCTTGGACAGGCGGATTTCTATTCTTTCTACAAATGATGCCCTATTACCTAAATGACTGTGCCATATACACTCAAACCTCGATATAACGAACACTGATATAACGAAATATCAGTTATAATGAAGCCAACAAAAAATTGTCTTGCAATAGATACAGTGCTTTTGGTTCCGTGTGTGTTCGTATAGCTTGGAACTGTTTTCTCACGAATCAAAACTCAGCAAATTTTCGGCGGTTGCGCTTCACTACCTTATCGTTTTAGACTTGCCTTTCCAAATTGGGTCACGAAGTTCAAAAGGGTTGAATCTTCTTTCAAAACAAAACCGAAACACAGCAATAAATGAAGCCGCAAGTACGAAGACTAGGCAAATGTGTGTACTACCGATCATTCCCATTGATCACAGGACTCTGTCGCTGCGATCGTTGCGATCAATGCGGTCGCAACGATCGCAGCGACAGAGCCCCCTCTAGTTAATTTTAGGAAACTCTATGCCCTTAATGGCACCAAAGTGACCAAACGATACTCCAAACAACCGACTCCATCTGCAGCGCTCACCAATATTGCTAAAGGTTCAGTGTTCATACTTGTGCGATTGTCAATTGAAGAGAAATTATTGCGCATATCTGAGGCAACATAACAACACGTCAATATTATGTATGTGTATTTTTTACTAGAAAATGCATACGTAATTAATTTTAAGGATCGTAGCTTTTATAACGCTGCGCTGGCCATGCAACGCTTGCACGAAATGGCAAGTGTTTTTTCCTCCTTACGTGATTACCTCAAGTGCTGCTCGTCAATGAAATGTTAAAACAGCACATCTCCGTTTGTTTCGACAATGACGTTCCGTCATGACTGGGCGCGCTTCAATCCATGAAAGCACCTTCATGGAAGCGCTTCAATCCATGACACCAAATACTCCATCAATTCATGGTCATTGCACCAAAGTTCGTTGCAAGAACATTTTCAAGCTAGTTTTACTCATATAGCAGCAGCACTCTACTGATCACGGGCAGTGCTTCGAATCTGACATTTCGCTCTCGAGAAAAAAGCATTGACATTGTGGCAGGTGTCAATGATGTGATTTTGATGTAAACATGCTGTTTCATTCAGGACCAAGGCTAAACCCTTTTGGTGAGAAAAGCTACTCAAGTTGATAACAATGTGCTTACGCAAGCACTTCCCTGGTGTTTTACCAGCAGTCAAAGGATCTCAGAGGGAACACCAGCACTAAAATTTAAAAAAAATTGACGAACAGTTACAGTATATCAGCGAGTCAGTCGAGGTCAATCTGGCGTGTCAGTCACACATATCCAGTCTACTAACTTTCATGGGAATGGGTTTAAACTGGGCTTGTGCGAATATTCGAATGCTTTGAATATTCGCACGAATATCACAGTTTACGAATTCACATTCGAATTCAAATTACTGAAAATTTCGAAGTATTTGAAATGAGCGAATAGATGCATATTAATCCACGTGTAACCTCCGTAAAGGTGGCTTCAGTGCAGTAAAGGAGTGTTAAGCCGTAAAAACACTTAAACATTAATCCGCATGCAACTTTTTGTAAAGGTGCTTTCACTGCAGTGAATAAATGCTAAACCGTGAAAACATATATTTAATTGAAGTCTGCATTGCTGCGAAGCCCTACCTACGATTAAATTAACATATCGCCCTCACTCTGATTTATCATTTTTGACGCTTAAAAGCTTGCTAACTGGTTATATGCTCCAAGTATAGTAAATATTAAAACACAATATATTTTACACGTTATCATTTGCATTTTACCAAAAGTCAAATCCTGCTACTATTCAAAGTTGTTTCCATTTCCTTTAAACAAAAAAAAAAAGGCATTTGCACAGACCTTGTTTCAATTAAAAAAATATATGCTGTGCAGATTAGTTACATCATGACAAATAAACCCATTTTCCTTTATATATAAGACCTTTTACTTATACTATTCGAATCCGATTCAAAATTATTCGACCAAAATTGCTATTCGCCTCGAATTCGCTTCGAGCCTAATATTCCCTATTCGCACAAGCCTAGTTTAAACCATCGATTTTTGTTGTGCCGCACATTCCTTATTATTGTGGTATGCTGATATAGTATGCAGCTTTCTCAGTTTAGGAAAAATCTTCTCAAAGGGCACCAAAAAATACTTCATATTTCAAAAACTGCATACTATACACAAATCCAGCACAATTCATAAAAACTGATCGAGTAATAAAAAACGGCTTTAGAGTGCCACGTCTCCGATAAAGAGCAGTTCAAACGAAGCCTGCGATGCACTTGCCTTTCTGCAGCTCCTCTGAGCGTCCCTGGTTGATGAGCTGCCGCGACAGTTCCCCTTTGAGGGGCGTCAGCCGGTACTGGCGGGCACACTCTTCAAAAGCCTTCAGGGCCCCCGGCACGTCCTCCTTCACCAGGTGCGCCCGCACCAGTGGCGCCAGCAGGGTGGATGACGGAGTCACCCAGCATCGCTCCAGCAGCAGCTTCAGGGCACGCTCCACTGGACCGCCCTGGTCCGCCAGGGCCGTGAGCAGGCGTGCGGCTATGCGGTCGAGACCGGCCTGCTGTCCCTGGCGGTCACCGTCGTTACTGCGTCCTAGATAACGAGGCAATTTTGTCACGATGGGAGAAGCCTGTCGAGGCATGCCCTAGACCACACTTTTTCATTTTTTTTTTGCCCTACCAGCAACTAGTCTATACTCCATCATAAACAACAACAACAACAACAAAAAAAAAAAACGGCAGCTCCACACACAAAATTATACCACGCCTCTCCTCCACCTGTGAGACAGCCTTGCAGGCTGGTTTCTGTTCAAGCTGAAAGTACTTTTTCTGACTGATTTAAATCCTCATGCATACCATGATAACACATGTTTGGATGAGCAGTGATGTCATCGTTCCTAACAAAATTGATCAGGACATTAAAGTTCCTGACCTAGGCTAGACTCAAGCCTCGATATAATGAATTCGGACAAAACCAATTGTTATTTATAATGATGCAAGTGATCAATAGCTTTGCCATAGGTAGTGTTATAAAATCGTTTATAACAGGTTTTCGAATGCAACGAAGTATTTTTATTGTAGATCTGACTTTGTTATAATGAGGTTCGAGTGTATATATGAGACGCCCGAGCAGTTCTCGACGTTACGAAAAGAAAGAAGTGCTATTACACAATAAATTTATGTAAATGAACATGCGGGATGTAAAGCTATGGCTGCGAGCAGAGTAGAAAGTTTTTGTCTCAGACTGTAATTTAGTACCACATTTACTCACGTACAACTAGCCCCAAATGGCGTCAGTTGGTGGGGGATATTGACGACTTCTGTTAACCTTTTGAGACGCTTTGTACAAATTAGTCTCGTAGTGTGTACGTATCCAGAAGGAGCACAACCACAAGCGTGGGTCCGGTCTTAGCGAGCCGCAGTGCACGCGTTAACTGTCGCCATGGCGAGAACACGGTACTGCTCAAGGTCACAACACTTTATTGCCTGCGACAACACAAAAAACGCAGTACAGAGCTCGTTACAAAGGTGTGGCAGGAAAGCAAATGGGCTTATTCAAGCCACGAGCGAGAAGTACTACACAGGGTGCCGCGAGTGAGTCTCCGTGGTAAAAGTGATTCACGGAGACACCGGGACAAAGGCCCAGTTGCTCGAGCGAGGGCAAAGGCGCTCGCGTTGGCTTCAAAAAGATACGGGTCGGTGCAGCCTGGCCACGCACTAAGGCAAAGTACCGCTCTTCGGCCTAGCATTCAAAAGGGCGAGGGGGGGAGAGACATAAGCTAAGCGTTCGCTGCAGGCGTAAGGCGCTGTCGGTGAACGAGCCCCAAACAATGGTAGCCGACGGACGGAAAAGAGAATGCGCGCTTACCCCCATGTCGTCCCGCGAGAAATCTCTCTCCTGACGCACGCGCGCGAAACGTCACGAGAGACCCCGTGAGCAGCGCTACAGTCGACATCCACTACCAGTTGAGAGGGGTTGAATGTCATTCCTCACAGCCGCAGTGCGGCAGACAGCGAAGAGGGGAGTCATTTCGGGACATGAGAACGGCAGAAATAGGCGGCAAAGCCCGCGCAAAGGCAGCGGGCTGGCCTCAATTCCCACAGTCTACAGAACCTGCCCTTGCTTGTTGTGTCGACTAATGGGAAAGAAAGAGCAACACATGTTGAGGTTCACATGAATTAAACCTCCTGCGAAATAAATGAATCTCCTTTTAACTTTGTTTCGCAGTGTAGTGTTTCCATGTGATCACTTTCCTTAGGGCACTACCGTGTTCGGCAAGTCATTCGGCACACTGATTTTCGGCGGTCATGTCAAGTATGATTTCGTTGCTTGAAACAACGAAACAGCGCCACATATGTAATTTTTTATGCATAGGAGTTTAACACACTAAAAACCATTGTATAGTAATGAGGCACGCTACAGAGAAACATTTTGGAAATTTCGACCACCTGGGGTTCGTTGAAGTGCACCTAAATCTAAGGACATGGGCCTCCAGTATCTTTGCCTTTGTTGAAAATGTGGCCGTTGCGGCCGGGATTTGATCCTGCAACATTCGTGTCGGCAGTTGAGCACCATAACCACCAGACCACCGTGGCGGGTCAACAAAATTGACAAAGAATTAAAAAAAAAAAACATTTAAGTGCAGTGTCTTTCCCAACCACAACAAAATCAGCCAAATGACGATGTTTTTTTGTATCCTAAATAACCTCAAATCCTAAACAACCACCTTTGTCATTCTCCAGCAGGCGCAGGGCCTCGTCGGTGTGTCCTCGGCTGGCCTCGAGGGCGGCGAGGCCAAGCAGCTTGTGGTTGTCCAGTCGGAACGACGGGTCCACCTCCCACACCTGCTCCAGGTGGTCCCGCGCCCGCTCCAGATCGCCAATGGACACAAACAGATCGAGCAGCTGGGCGTGCATGGCACCCGTGAAGGTGCAGTTGTCCTGGCGTAGCTGCTCAGCCACCGACAGGGCCCGCTCTACGTGCTACACAAAAGGAAGGATGACAGACTTGCGGTGTTCTATAGGCACGCGGGTCAGTTACAACCAGAGAGGAAGAAACGTTTAGGAGGTGCAACTCCGCTCCTTGAGGCAACCAGATAATGTCACACTGCCGGAGAGCCACTCCATGGTGGCGGCATTTTTCAGCGCAAAGTGGACTTGCCGCCTTTTCAGTTTCTGAGAAAAACGCCCACGCACAATGCTCGGGTTCGGCTACAGCGGGGACGCGGAGTGTGCTTGGCCGTGCCCGTTTCTTGCTCCGTGGCCGCGTTCAGCCAGTACCATTTCCTTTTATTTTTTTCGTGGTAGAGGCTTTGCGTTACAAGGTGCCGCCAACTGAACTGTCTCTGTCGGAGCATGTTATTTTTTGTATTTGTGAAGTTATTTAGACGCCTGTGAACGTCCGTTTCAATGGGAGTTTCACCTCCTAAATATTTCTTCCTCCGTAGTTGCAAGGAAGTAGCACCAAGCCACTACAATGCATAGGCATTGTTAGTGTTGGAAAAAGATAGAAGATGACGACGATCTGTTCTGGCCTTTGATTCAGGTGCTGCCTCAGCAACCCACGCACGGGCTGATATTTACTATTGTAAATAATCCCTTTTTTTTCTAAGCAACAGGAAGCTTGTTTTTTACCAGTTAAACCATCGGAAAATAAAGACAAGGAAGGCATAGCAGAAATCATTTGTAGATTTTAGTAGTAGTGTAATGAATATACTGGATTTGCTCAAACGCTATGCGACCAAGATTGTAATGTGCGGGGGGGGGGGAGGGCGAACTTTCATTGCGCCTAGAAAAAAATTAAAAGAAAGATAAAAGATTTGTGCGCATCGTTGCACTTTTTAAGGCAACTTGAATTTCGGTATTTGATTGTAATGTGAGGGTCGACTTCAGGTACCAAGAATCTGGAAAAGAAGTATGCGTTACATTCGAGTAAGTACACCAACATGAATGGAAACATTATACAGTCAAAATCTTATTAATTCGAACAAGCTTAATTCAAACGTCCAGTCAATTCGAACTCACGATGAGGTTTCGTGAAAGCTATGTGTATTCCTATGGGCGAAAACTCTTGGTAATTCGAACGCGCAAGCACATGCGACGGTTAATTCGAACATACCGCGTTCTGATTATGCTCTCAGCACCCCGCCCAATTCCGTGGCGGCAGCTGCGACACCTCAACGCTACGCATTAAGGAAATGAAAAGGAAAAAAAAAAAAAGGCTGTGGTGGAATGTTTGCTCTCTCTCAAATGCCGATCTGCGACGCGCCCGTGTCGCGCTTCTCCCTTTTCTGTCCCTGCCATGTAAAGACCCTTCTCCTTCCTATGCCGCACGCGCAGAGAGAGAAGAAAAAAAAAAGAAACCTGTTGCTGGGTTGAATGAATGTGTGGTTGAAGGAAAGGAAAAAGGCACTATTTTCTGCAGCCCTTGTCCCTTGCGGGAGCACAGCTCTGCGCCTTGAGAAGGGGCGGGTCTCTCACGCGCCGGTGCCATGCTTCCCCCTTTCTTGTCCCTGGCATGTAACCCTTCTTTTTTCAACAACGTGTACGAGAAGAGCAAAAAAAAAAAAATAAAACTGCCGTGGAGTGCTGGTTTTTTTCTCGAATGCTGATCCGCTTCTCTCCGCATAGAGACGCTCCTGCTTTTTCGTCACGTGCTGGCCAAGCTGCGGCTGCGTAGCAGAGAGGCTCCGCCACCCAGTTGTCGTCGTCTTTAGAAAGTGTCGGCGCTGGACATTTCCGCGCGCAACTTCTCTTGCCAGGAGAATGCTGAAGCCGAAGTAGAAATGCTCTGCAAGCTGCGTGCAAAATTGACTCGCTGCAAGCCAAATGTGTGCAGACGCGCATCACCGATTACTTCAATCAATAACGGATGTCCACTGATTTGTGAATAAATGTAATTCTCCTGAAACTTCCCCCTCGTGTGTTAGCTCAATGCCCATGCGCCACTGCACGGAGAGCCCTCCGTTTATTTAGGTTTCATTAATTCGAACTTCTTTTAATTCGAACAAATTTTCGGACACCTTCGAGTTCGAATTATCGAGATTCGACTGTAGTAACAGTATCCAGGCTTTCCCGTCTCAAAACCATGATCGATTAGGAGAGACAACGAAGTGGCGGGCTCCGATAATTTTTTACCATCTGGTGTTCTTGAACGTGCCTCGACGTCGCACAGCACGCATGCCTCCAGCGTTTCGCCTCCATCGAAATGCAACTGCCCCAGTCAGGATCATGACCAGAAGTGTAAGTGGAAATGTTATAATAATTACTACGCTATGCCTCCATCAGCTTCGTTGTGTGTTGACTTACGTTGTGGCTAACAAAATTAAACAGGACTCTGATACATTCCCTCTAATGTATGTGCATTGGCGTGAGCAATTACTCCGGCCGAGTGTACCGTGGCTGTGAAATGGAAGGGAACAGGCTTGATACGCCCGAGCATGTTGAGTAATGGCACACTTTCACTTGATTTCAGTTTTCAAGCCATTCAGCTTACTCTTAACAGGAAAGAAGTCTGGACACAGAGAACCGAAGACCAAGGTTATAACATCACAACAGGGGGGCCTATCGTCGAAACGTAGCATGAGGTTCCCGTTATGCGCTCGCAAAAGATCTCGTGACAGTCGCACGACTGCTTCGCTCCGTGGCTGTGCTGGTAACACGCAAGCAGCCATTTTGTATATTTCAGCACCTGATGGCATTGCAGCTAGCCGTGCTGATGCGTGTGAAATCGCCGGAACTGTTACTATGGGCTGACAACACGCTGGTGTCAATGTCAATAGCTGCTCCGTGCAAAAATTGACTACATACAGCCATGTCTACATACAGGAGATCTGTATGGCCGACCAAACTCAGCTTTGAAAATTTGTTTCTATACTTGACAGCAACCCTTTTCCCCTGTCAAGTTGGCGAATGGACTTACCCTGAAGCGGCAGTGGAGCAGTAGGAGCCGGCGAAGGGCACCCCTGGTGTTCATGCCTTTGCTCTGTGACAAGGAGAGAGAGACGGCAAGAGTTGCAGTTTTAATCCTCCTGTACGAGCGTGCCACTGGCACGGGTCCGCAACCACAGGACATCAAAAAGTGGTGAATTTCACTGGCGATGCTATCATGCATGCAAGGAAAATTCAGAAACTTCACTTGACAACACACCTGCAACTCCAACAGATGGGCCTCCAACTCCTCAATGCCCATGTCATTCTGGAAGAAAACGAGAGAGTGCAGGTAAGTGATTGGAGGAAGGTGGTTGGCAAGGTACAACAGAGGCCACTGAATAAGTTTGCTAACCGTTGACCATGCTGAAGATTCGGCATCTGTAGTTCCTTGCTTCATATCAGTAATAATATTGCAACTATACAGATTTAGTACAGCGAAGTGATACACTCAACACAAAACTGTAGGCCTGTGCAAATATTAAAACGAATGCTACAGTATTCGAATTCAATTCGAATTTATGATATTGAAAATTTAAAGTATTTGAAACAAAAGAACAGAAATATACAAGTCCACATGCGACCCCCATTAGAAGGTGGTTTCACTGCAGTGAAGGGTTACCAAGCCATGAAAGCTTTTATCGAAATGTCAAATTATTCCTTTTGTAAAGATTGCTTCACTGCAGTGAAGGAGCTGCTAATTTGTGAAAACACCTATTCAGAAAAAAAATCTGCACTGATGCGAAGCCCTGCTTTAAAGGAACACAGTAAAAGGAACAATGACTTAGTTTGGAATGGCAAACTGCCCTCTCAGAACTCTAATACCATATGTTTCACTATTATAAGTACGCTATTAGCGGTGGAAATCACGGTCATAGTTTAACTTTTAAATTTCGCGACAAAATCTCCGTTCGTGACGTAATAAATTTCAAAATGTATTTGCGGCATTTTCCAGGCATTGGTGCGGTGAAATCTTCTGTTACTTCGTATGCTAAATCTATGGCATCTACAGATTACAATGTTCTTCACTTCTACCGATTGAAAGCTACGTAGGACCCAGTAGGACACCTACGTAGGACCCAGCACTTTTACCATCAACACAATGCTTAGTAAACGAAAAAACGCACGAGAAGATAACACGGGTGGCGACGCCACCTTGAGATTCCCGCCTTCGAAATGATTCAAGTTACAGTGTTCGGGGCGGGAATCTCAAGGTGGCGTCGCCACCCGTGTTATCTTCTCGTGCGTTTTTTCGTTTACTAAGCATTTTGTTGACGGTAAAAGCGCTGTTTTCGGGATTGTGAAATTGCACTTTACTAATAAGCAAACTATCGTTTCGCTCTTTAGCGTCCCTTTAAAGTTAAATGAACACAATACCCTCACACTGATTCATCATTTCATAATTTTAGAAGCTTGTTATACCGGCTTATACGCTCTAAGTATAGTAAATTTTGAAAAACAACATATTTTACAGGTTATCATTTGCATTCTACAAAAAGTCAAATCCTGCAACTATTCAAAATTGTTTCCGCTTCCTTTGAATCAAAAAGAATGGCATTTGCACAGGCCTTGTTGCAATGTTCAAAAAGTATTGTGCCGGTTGGTTAGGTTCCATGACAAATATGCTAATTTTTTTCTTTATAATAAGCGATGCATACTATTAAAAAATTGCTACAAATTATTTTATCAAGATCGCTATCCGCTTCGAATTCACTTCGACCCTTAAGTTTAATATTTGCACAAGCCCACAAAAGTATAATCGAAGAACGCAGTGTATATTGAAAACTTAGGCTTGCTGTTAAAACAAATTAATAAAAATGAGCACATGTTGACAACGCACAGTAGAAAAAAGTGTGTTCCCACAGCATTGTAGCAGTGTGCTTCTCTCTCACCTGTGTTGTGTATCTGTCCTGTTTTTTTTTTTATATGCAATCGAAGATCGTTACAAAAACAAAAACCTATCAATGAAGAAAGTGCGTCATAAACAGCTTTCAGGCATGCTCACACTATGGCGAATCACAAGTGCCCCATTAACTTTGCTGAATCACACGTGCTTTGAAGAATCTGTGGTCGAAGCTTTCATGCAGGCGGTCTCGCTTTACAAACAAGTGCATTGCAATTGTTGGCAATAAGTGTCTGAAGTCGGATGAAACTTAAGGCTGCCCTAGTGACCGAAGCACAGCAGTTGATCACCTCCGTGGCTAACGAAATAGTCCAAAGAGAACTTTTTGTTGGGCTAGTTGGTGCATGCTTTATAGAAAGAATAAGGTGCAAACGAAATGAACACAAGGAGAGGGACATGGACGTGTTTGTCTCGTTTGCGCCTTATTCCTTTCGTTGATATAGGCTCACTCCTAAGCTCGGCAATGTTCTTAAAAGGTGGGGTCACCGTTAGTCTGACTCATCACAACAGCCTGCAGGAACACGGCATCGGTGCAAGTTTTTACACGCCAAAACCGTGATATATTCAAGAGAGACGCCACAGTGGAGGGCTCTGGAAATTTTGACCATCTGGTATTCTTTCGATGAGCACTGACATCACACAGCTTTTGAAAATGAAATGTGACAAACTTCTGAAGTTGTATCTAACTACAAGCACGCAATTCGATTGAGTAATCAGATGCTTGCCCAACCCGAGATAGGCCAAAACACTGGTACACTATGACAGGGAATCGTGTTGCCCGATGTTACCTGTGAAGGTAGCCTAGAGTCGCTGAACTCGTCCAGTTTCTCCGCCGATATCTGGTCCAGCATCTGGGGGGGTTTAGAGAAAGAGCACGATCAGCAGAGACAAGCAAGTTGCAGCTCGCGCCGTCTTCTACTGATCTTTCAGGGAGAGACACCGCCGACACTCAGCGTGCATCTTGCACTAACTAATAGAGGATTATGAAATCGCTGTTTGGGGAGACTGCTGCTGAAAGATCGAGACGTTCGTCAATAAGGGACGAGGTGCAGATTGACAAGTTTGCAGGCAGTGTGCCCGTTCATAAGACGCAGCGAGAGGGCTACTCTGAAACTTCCGACAGCCTTATCTTATACATTCTACGGATGAGCCAGCTGCTCAAGCATTAGAGGTTTGTAACCTTGCTAGCTGCATTCAATGGCAGCGGCACTGCGCCGTGTCGCCTGTAGGCAGACAGAAATTAGGTAGGCTTCTTCCTTTTCCTCATGAACCACTAACAACAATAAATATCGAGCTAGCGAAAAAAGGTCTTCACAGCTAAATCTACAGCAAAAAGAAGTCAGAAAGCAGCACAATCCACTCAGACTACAATAGGCTACTTACATCGAGGATGGAACCGCCCAGAGATTTTCCGTGGCGTGTCCTCAGCAGTGTCTGCTGCGGAGCGAGAGATGTGCACCTTCTGCGAATGTAAACAACAGGAAGTAGCACAGAGCTTTCGACTGTCTTCTCGCGCCTGGAGCTAGAGAGAACTGGCAAGCAGTTAGTTACTAATTGTTGGAAAAGTCGGTATCATTTCAAGTGGGCCTGGAACCAACTAAACAGAGACGAAAGGTCGCATCTACACTCGTACCGTGATGCATGTGTCGGCACATGTGACTGTGCATCTCTCAGGCTAGTGCACTCAAACCTCGTTATAACAAATTTGCGTCTTACACAAAAGTAAGTTTTTATATAAAAAAAATTCGATATAAAGGTTGATTCCTAACAATATATTGCAAAGCTATTTTTAATTTACTTTGTTATAACCAATACTTCATTATACATCCTGGTTCATTATATCAAGGCTTGAGCGTAGAGGTCCCATCGGCACCCTTACAGCCATTAGCGCAGTTGCTACAAGTAGATCATAACCTGCTCTAAAGTAAACGAAGCTCGCTCTTCGATTGTGTTGCTGACGTTTCGACATACGCTCCTCTTGCCAGCTATCTCAGGTGGCCTCTTAAAAATCTTCACATGTGCATGCATAGAAAAAGAAAAAGAACGACTCACATTCGCCAGAAAGCTCCGGGACCAGATTACTCAGGTCAGCGGGCTGGCTCCACCAGACACTCGCTCAAGAACTTTCCAGCCCAGTCTGCGCATACAGGAATACAAGCCTGTCAAATCTTCAAAAACACGTAAATCTATATAATTATACTTTCTAGATACAGGTGGCTCGAGATCTGTTCTGTGCGGTGCCGCAATGATCCCTGCCGTTCACGAAAAAACTGTCATGCTCTTTCAATGAAACTCAATTATGTTCATCATATTATCCTAACAGTTAATTGGTCCTTACTTTAGGTAATTATGCTCCGATTTGATAGATATGTGGGGTTTAACGTCCCAAAACCACCATATGATTATGAGAGACGCCGTAGTGGAGGGCTCCGGAAATTTCGACTACCTGGGGTTCTTTAACGTGCACCCAAATCTGAGCACACGGGCCTACAACATTTCCGCCTCAATCGGAAACGCAGCCGCCACAGCTGGGATTTGATCCCGTGACCTTTGGGTCAGCAGCCGAGTACCTTAGCCACTAGACCACCGCGGCGCGGCTAATTATGCTCCAAAGTATCACCAAAATATTTAAAATATTGAACCAAGACAATCAATTTTACACCACTTTTATGTTCAAAAAAATATTTTCTAACTATTTGGAAAATCCAGAAGGTCTCAGGTGGACGTGATTGGAAGAGAAACATATGATTCGGGACTCGTGCCGATAAAGAGATGAGATCTGTGCTGCCACAGAGAAATTCGAGTTATGGCACTAAATTTAAAAATGAAATTTAAACCTTCCTTTTTCTTCAAATAATGAACCCACTATTGCAGTGGAGTTCTGACAGAATAAGTCATCAGTATAAATAGTTTAGGCACTTAATTTCAGTGCCTATCTAACGGAGCCATACCTGTGCGACTTGTTCCAGTGGCAGTAGACTCCGGGCCTTGCAGTATCGAGGACAACAGCTGTGAGCAGTTTTGAAAAGGTCAGAGTCATGCCGATTGTCGAGCACACGAGAAACACTGAACAGAACACTCAAACCTCGATATAACCCGGCGATCTATTTCTCCCCCCTGTACCTACAGAATTAACGCCGTTCCCCTCCAGCATGTCTCTTCATATAAGTACCTCGGCGTTTACATTACCAACAATCTATCTTGGCACACGCATGTTACCTACATCTGTAATAACGCTAACCGAACGCTAGGATACTTACGCCGCAACTTTTCTCGCGCTCCGCTGTCCCTCAAAATTCTATTATACCGATCACTAATTCGCCCAAAGCTTGAGTACGCGTCCGCTATATGGGATCCCGTGCAGCAAAATTTAATTAACGCGTTAGAATCTGTTCAAAACCGCTCAGTTCGGTTCATTTGTTCTAATTATTCCCGTACTGCTAGCATATCAGAAATGAAATCTAACCTTGACCTACCCAATTTAACTGTCCGGAGGAAACTGGCGCGACTGCATTTTTTTCATAAGATATTTTTTCACAATCCATCAATGAAGCGAGACCTCATTTCACAACCGTCATACCACTCATCGCGCATTGATCATCAGCATAAGGTTGCCATTCCGTTTTGCCGCACCAAATTCTTTCAGCAGCCTTCTTACCGAAAACAGCCGCCGATTGGAACCACCTTCTCTCTTCCGTTGTATCAATAACAGACCCTTTGTTATTCAAGACTGCAATTTCTCAGCAATGCTTGTAACTATACGCTGTTTCCATTATCTATCTTTGTTTTGTATGTGCTTGAATTCTTATACATTTTTAGTTGACTTATGTTGCCTTCCTGATTTGCGCATCTGATACTTGTTTCTTTATTTTGTCTTTTTTCTTGTGTGTTATATATGTTGTACTCACCCCCTCTGTAATGCCCTACGGGCCCTGAGGGTATTCTAATAAATATAACGAACTTGGATATAACGAAATATCTGTTATAAAGAAGTGAATGCAAAATAGTCTTGCGATAGTTATAGTGCTAGGAACTATACTTTTATAACGAATTTTTTTATAACAAACTCTTTTCGTCTAAGACGCAACTTTGTCATAATGAGGTTTGAGTGTACTTAGGAATCAAGGGGTGAACCTCTCATGGAACATGCACCAAATCCTTTTTATAGTGAAGTTGAGGAATGAAAAAAAGGTAGCACTATTCTAAACATGAGTTCATTATGACCACTACCTGCCTTTGTAGTGACAGAAAATTGCAGCTGAGCATCAGCCACAGGCTACGTATGCAATGCACGACAGTGGATCCATGCCTAGAACGATGTGCCCACCGAACAACAGCAGTTATTCATACGTAGAAGACGAGAGCAGGATTGAGCGATGAAACGTGCGAGCCAACATTGCATGCTTCACCACCACTATTACTGAAATGTTCACCCTCCTCGGAAGCAGAACACACGAATTCGTTTTCACGAAAGTGTGAAATAGCGCTGAAAAGCTACTGCCAGACAATACCTAAATTAGGATTTCTTCGCCAAGCCTCCCTTTTGAATTCGCGAGGTTAAGGTGCGATATGTTGCGATATTGTGACAACAGGCCAAAAAGTAGGTTAAATGTCGGGGTGTTCCTTTGTGGAGAGGGGAATCAACAGACCCCACAAAGTGACCAGACACGAGAGGTTTTCGTGCTATCCTTACCTTGACTGCGGGCACAGCCTTGCGAGTTTCCCGATAGCAGTTGGTCAGAGATGGCACCAGCACCGATGCCACCAGGTTCACCCGGATACTGCTCCGCTGCCGTCACACAAACTGAGGCCCAGTTACGTACGTCAGGTCATTTCAGAGTGCCATTGCGATTCGCTGATACACTACTCCACTACTTGCACTTGTTTCCAAGTGTCTGTGTTTTGGCAGCCAATGGTAACTAAACACTAAAAGCAGTTGCGCGCTTAGGGGTGCCTTTTCGTGCCACAACAATAATAACCACGTATATTTTCTGTGCTGTTTCTATCCCTCATTATCTGTTAGCTTCACCCCGGTGTGGTAACACTTTAGCCATCGTTTCACAGACACTGCCAAGCCTCTGCAGTTGCCACACTTGAGAAGTAATGTGTGAACTGGTGTGCAGTCACGGCTATGTATGTGTAGAGCGCGTGAGGAGTCGGTTTTCGCTCCGCAGGGCGTAACCTTGAAGCAGTTTCGGGCTCTGAAGTGCTGTACCAGAAGCATGTGTGGCCTTGCTCTCAGGCTGACCACATCAGTGCCCGAAAGTTTCTCAAGCTTTTGCCCCGCAGAGAGAAAACTGGCTCCCCGCGTGCTCTACACAGACGTGGTCGCGGCTGTACACCTAAACGCACCTCGCCGTATCCGGGTGAAGATTCGAGCCCTTCAAACATAAACTTGTCCGTTGCTCGAGTAGTCTTCACGGGATCTTTAGAGTAGATATGGCAAGAGGCATTCACTGAGCTTGTGTACGCAAGCTGTTTAGGTCCAAGCAGGGCTCAAGCGATGATTTCAAGTTTTTCATTCTTCAGGCCGCTAGCATTCCATAACATGAAGATTTCTTTCGCAGGAACACTTACCTTTGATTACCAACTGTCCACGAAATGTCTTAAAAATCGGCAATGTTGATGGATTAGTTAACGCACATTTTGGTTATTGTACAATGTAAATGCTGGAAAAAAAAACACAGGGAAAGCAAGGAAGGATGTACACAGAGCTTGTGTGTGTCCCTCTTTGCTTTCGTTACTTTACTGCGACTCTTTTATTATTTTTTTTTCAGCACTTACACGCTTGTGCTCTAAAATCCAGGGTAGCCTCCTCCCTTAAAAGGAATTGTTCTACCAAAAGTTTGCATAAGCTTCTGCCTGGTAGAGCTGCACCACAACAAGCTGCACCTCGCATTTATTATTACTGGTACAGGTAACTTACCGACAGCAAGGGCCTTATCCAAGTTGTGCGTCTGGAGGTGGTACAGGACCAGTGGATTCACGATGGAAGACACGCTTAGTCCCAGGCCCTGAAAGTACAGTGATGGAAGTGACATTTCGCTTCTTGGAGCATACTTTGAAGCAGGAATAGTACTGCTCTGGAGCAGCCGTAAGTGTTTACGGAGCAGAAAAAATACTAGTTTGGAGCAGCTAGTGGTGTTTTAGGAGCAGATACTCAATTTGCCATACATTAATTGGGAGTTCTCAGCATTGTCAAAGCACCTCGTAAATATAAATAGTTATTATAAAATATATTTGACAGAGAACAATCAACATAAATTTCATGAATGAACAATAGAGGGTTGTCAAAAACGTTCTGTGAAATGAGCCATAATTTAAAATACTATAGTATTTGTAGCAGAAATCAAATCAAACCAGAAAAGCTGAGCGCCTCATTTTAATAGTAACCACAGTCCCATACAACTGTTGCCAAATAAGCAGTAGATAATTGGTATGAAATAAAAGCAATCCTGCTCATTTTCACATTTCAGAAATCACAGTGGCCTGCATGTCTAGCTGAGAAAAAAAAAAAAAAAACAGCCAAATGAGCTATATGCTTAATATGCCAGTTCTTGTTGCCTAAATCAGATCCGAGCGGATAATACTTAACACTAGTATGATAACACTGGTATGATAGTACACAGAGTTTTTTCAGTTTATTTAGGACTTTCGAGTCAACCAAACAGTAAAAGTTACTCATTCTCACTCTCTCAGTGTCGTTTTGGAGCAGGTTTAGAGGAAATACCAACGAAAATTACTGTTTGGGTCAACATGAAGCAGCATTTCCCTTTTGGAGCAGTTTGGTGCAATTGGAGCAGCACTTCCATCACTGGAAGTTGTACAGACAAATCTGTGATGTATCGAGGCACGAGACACCTTCTGCTCTGCTAAAAAAAAAGTGCGAAGGACTGCGTGTAATCGCCATTCTCTGTAAGCAAGGTCGTAAATCAAGGCATCCACAAACTATGACCTCCGGAGAACGCTGTGGTAACCACCCTACTGTACCCTTTCGCGTGACAGCAATTCACTGCGTCGTGTTCATGCAGACAAGCCAGTGTCTATACCAATGGCAATGGCAATGCTGGCTACAAGAATAGCGATGCTTGAGTGGCTATTGCACGGCCTCCAAAACATGCGTGTCGAGAAAACTCACCGATCTCTGAGGTTGCACCATTTTCACTGAAACAAGGGCGTGCATCCACAGTTGGGTTGCGCACTCTGCGTGTCAGTAGGGCCATTTCAACCTCAATCTCACTTCAACATCCCCGTTACAGCCAAGCAAGTATGGCACTTGGACGTGACGTGCACGAGAACCAAGTTTTACACGGCACGAGAACTTTAGATGAAAATCGATATCGCTTGCAACAAGAAAAAATGAATGAAAACAAGACAAGCGCAGCCCACTGTCATGCCAACTCGCCAAGCTACGATACATTAGAGAGCTGCAACGCATTGGCACTTCAGCCAGCGTGGGAATGGTGGACGGTCAATTGATTTGTCTAAGCTTCGTTCTTTCGGCTCCGTTTGGCTCCGTGTGGCCTGGAGGCACTTTGTAGCAAGACAATGTTAAGCAACGCTTAACATTGTCTTGCTTAACAAAAGCGGTTTTGTCTTAACAAAAGCGGTGCAGTAACTTTGCCACCTTAACCTTTTTAGGCTCACCAATTCAAACCGGCTCACTAAGTTCCCCACTATTTATTTCAAGCCGTAAGCACGAAGACTGGGCAAATTCATGTACACTCAAACCTCATCAAAACGAAGTTGAATCTTACACAAAAATAAGTTTTTTAAATCCAAAAATTCATTATAAAGGTATATTATGAACACTATATTTATTGCAAGACTACTTTGCACACTTCGTTATAAACCGACATTTCGTTATATTTGGCTTTGCTAAGTTGAAGTTTGAGTGAACTGGCTATCATTCCCACGGTGGCTGAATGGTCGCAGCGCGACAGTTCACTCTAGTCAGTACTCAAACCTGATTTTAACAAAGTTTCATCTTACACAAAAATAAGTTCATCGTATCCGAAAGTTTGTTACAAAGGTATATTCCTAACGCTACACATGTTACAACTGTTCTTTGTATACTTTGTTATAAATGATATTTCGTTATATCTGGGTTCATTATATTGAGGTTTGAGTTTACTGTGCGCCACACAACTTGAACTATGAGCCACACAACCTAAACCTATAGTACCAAACTATTCACACATGCATACACTGACTTATTGCTAAAAGAAGTTTGGCGCAAGACAGCAAAAGAGCAACCTTTAGTTTCTCCACCACGGTGGCAGTGTCCTCGGTGTTGACAGCAGGGAAGACGTACTCGGCCAGCAGATCAAAGTTGACGTCCACTCCGAGCTCCAGCATGGACTTGAGGACATTATAGACGCCCTGCTCGTTGTTCCCTTGAGCCAGAACCAACGGGTAGAAGTAGTGTGTCCGCAGCGGCATCCCCTGTGCAGAAAAGTGGGAAATGGATGGGTCAAACTCGTATCAAGCATTTAAATTTATATACTTACCAGGTCACGATGGTCTATTGAAAGACCGGGAGGGTAAATTTTAATTACAGCGCAGTGACACATTTGTTGAAAGAACAAATGCCACTTATACATATCAAGAATTAACAAAGGGTAGATTAATTATGTTTTACTAAAATTTAATCACATTCAGGATGACTAGGCAATGTGCCACATTGGCTAACGGGCTGCTGAACTGGCCAAGGTATATAACTTACCGTATTTACTCGCATAATGAACGCACTCGCATAATAAATGCACCCCCAACTTCAGTCATCAAAACTGATTTTTTTTCCCACGCGTAATAAACGCACTCCCTACATTCATTCGCTGTAGTCCCGCTAACCGACACCCGGCGCCTCCTGACCCATGTTGAATCTCTTCGTTTTTTATTACTTTGCCGACCTCCTTCAACCACCTCAGCTCGCTCCCTTTCCCCATTTGCCCATTGCCGCGTGTCTATTGTAGCCTACTTTCTTTTTTCTTCACTCGAACTGTCCCTTCATTCCCCGTTTCCCCGCGAGTGTATCAATTGAGGTGTCCTCACATAAGAGACAGTTATCGTGCACTCCACACCCCTTTTTCTAAAGAATATCCCCCCCTTCCATAAAAAGAAAAGCCCAAACACGTGCACCACGTGATTTTCGAGTGACGACGGCATCATTTGCTGTCGTGAAGGGTCATTCGTCGCTATAACATCGCAGGTTTCTGGAAAACCAGAAAAAATTGTTTGTTGCCCAGAGAAGACGTGACAATTTCCGCAACATGGTAGGGCCTCCGACTCTCGCTTCACTCGTTATCTACGCGTAGAGGCACTTCTCATGTAGAAGCGAGGCGCGGCCGTATTTTGTCGATAATCCTGTTATCAACGATTTGAGTTGATGCTTCGAGGGTAGCTTGCTACCATGACCTCGTCGTGTTTGCTAAAATGTTAACCGCAACGTCACGGTCGTCGTAGCACATGCTTTTGGGTGCCCCTCGAGATCACAGCAGATGTTGCGGTTAAACGATTGTGAGAAATGATAGCCGCAAAAGGCTTTTATTGCGTGCGCGGGCGGCCCGAGGACAGCTAGCAGAAGATAGCGCCACCAGCCACGAAGGCTAAGTGACCTAACTTTTTTTTGCGTTCCCGCATTTCTTGCTTTTCCAGAAAAAGTTTTCATAAAATTTACCTCGCATAATAAACGCGCCCCCCCAACTTTGTTCCAATTTTTCGAGAAAAAAGGTGTGTTCGTAACGCGAGTAAATACGGTAAGATGTAAGAGCACAAATGGTATGAAAATCATATGGATATGGCATGAAGAATCAAAACAAACTAAAGGAACAGCTTTATACACTTGAACGCACGTGAAGCTATCACTGACCCATGACACAAGCATCTACAGTTCTTTGACAGAAAATAACACTGATTTGAATGTTTACTCTCCCCTTAAAATACAGATGCCACCTCATTCTCATTACTGATTCCTGAATTTAATGGGAATGCAGTTAGGGTGGCAATACATATGAACTAATTGCAGAGGAGAAACATACAATTGAAGAAAAACTAAACACACTGCTCACCTGCTGGTGCATCTCTCGAAGCAGCGGCAGGGCCAGTTCTGCAATTCAGAAAAAAAAAAAATGCAGTTTTAACAGCGCGCCGACAATAAAAACGTAAAGGCCCGATGATGGTTGGATGACTGTGAACAGTATTCAGAAACGGTTCATTTATCTAAAACACGCCAGGAATGTTACAAGCACTTGCTGCGTGAATTCGGACCTCACGTGAAATTTATACCAACCTCAGTGGCGTGGACTGCAAGTCTAGAAAGCGCTTCACCATCTTTCTTTTTTTTTTTTCGCAATCCTCCGACATCTACGTGTCTCTTATCAAACAACCCTCCAAACAACTAACACTCTTCTGACTAAGATCGGATTACGGTTCCCGTCAAGACGACAACCTGCCGAGTAGAAAAGTCATACATTATACCTTCCTCGGTGAGTGAAAATTAAGCCGACCTCAAGAACATTTTCTAGAAAAGATTTTATGTTACTTCCGTATTTGTTGCTGTCCAAATTTACTAAGAACTCGAGACTTTATACTGAGAAAGCATTCCTTGTTACTATGAAACAAAGAGCAGTTCATTATTGAATAATGAAATGAATTTCTGAAAGTAACTAATTTGTTAACGATGTGTCCCACCTTTTAACGGCAGGGACGATGCCATTTACAAGCTCCTTGACAACAAGTGCCACATTACCAGTTCATTTCTAAGATACAGCACTTGCGTGCCTCTCAAAAAAGGGTACTAATATTCTTATCTTAAGATAATCATCCGCCCTTCTTACTGCATTACGATGCAGCAAGTAAGGCTACGCCGTTTCCAAGTGCATGCAGCACACGCGATTGCAGTATCTGCATCACTGGCTTTCGTGTCTTCAATACTACATATTCTGACAATTTCACACATACTTCATACACATTATGAAAACATTTTTATGCAGAAGAGAAGTATAGGTTGAGCACGGTAGAGAGAAAAAGAATGCGCACCAGTGCGGTGGTTGGAGAGGGCCACTTCGGCACAGCGCATCAGTGCACGGCTGTTAAGGCCACGAGTCTGCAGGTCCTTGCAGTAGTGAAGAATACGCTCGAGGGGCTGCACAAGGCAATGCAAATGGCCATCATGTGAAGAAGGCTGGAACGTACGAAACTCGGGAGCCCTCGGCCCAGCGTCTGCACAAGAGACCTACTACTTTTACTTATTTACTTCTTTCCATTGTATCGTCCAATGCTCTATCCCCACTGTTTCCTTTCTCCAGGTCCTGTATGCCGAAATTCAACCTTCCATCACGTGCCAAGCAGTGCGACACTTCAGTTGCTCCAGGCAACGACGACGGTCACGCATTCATGTCCAGGCAGCAATTAAAAGTGAAATGTGGCAGTGTCAAATGACTAGTGACCTTGATAAAACATCACACTGCCTAATCAGAAATGGCTGATCACCCAGAAGCTAGCGATTAAGAGAGCATCACTTATTTGAAAATGGCACATACAAATATGCATGTGATTGATGCCATGCTTTTCGCATACGTTGCCACCACCGAAATCTGCGAGTTATACAGTCGAATCTCAATAATTCGAACTCGAAGGAGCCCGGAAGTCTGTTCGAATTAAAAGAAGTTAGAATTAATAAGGCTAAATGAACAAAGGGCTCACCATGCAGTGGCACATGCGCATTGAGGTAACACACGAGGGGGAAGTTTCAGAAGACTTACATTTATTCACAAATGACAGGACATCCGTAATAAATTGAATCGGTGATGCACATCTGCACACGTTTGCCTTGCAGTGAGTCAATCAATTTCGCACGCAGCTTGCAAAGCATTTCTACTTTGGCTTCAGCATTCCCCTGGCAACAGAAGTTGCATGCAACAATGTCCAGCGCCGACACTCTTAAAGACGAAGACAACGGCTGCGTCTCCGCTACCATCCTCTTCGCCATAGCCGCGGCGTGGCCAGCACGTGACGAGAAAGGAGGAGCGTCTCCACTCGGAGAGAAGCAGCTCAGCATTTGAGAGATAACCACACTCCACAGTGCAGCATTATTTATTTTTTTTCTCTCTTCACGCCGCGTCCGTTGAAAAGAGAAGGGTCTACATAGCAGGAACTGGAAACAGGAGAAGCGTGGCACCGGCGCGTGAGAAAGAGCCAACACTCCGTGACAGCTTTCTTTTTTTTCCCCTCTCTCTCTCTCTTCGTGCACGGCGTTGAAAGGAGAAGGGTCTCTACTTGGCAGGGACGAAAAAGGGAGAAGCGTGGCACAGGTGCGTCGCAGATAGGCATTTGAGAGAGAGCAAACATTCTCCCTCGCAGCCTTTTCTTTCATTTTCATTTCCTTCGCGCGCAGCATTGAGGTGTCGCAGGTTCCGCCGCGGGTTCAGGCCTGCTGCTGAGAGCATTTTCGGAGTGCGGTATATTGGCATTAATTGTCGCAAGTGCTTGCACGTTTGAATTACAGGGCACTTTCACCCATTGGAATACACATAGCTTTGACGAGACCTCAGCGTGAGTTTTAATTTACCAGAAGTTCGAATTAAGCGGGTTCGAATTAATGAGATTTGACTGTGAAAGGTTCACAGTGCTTACGCATTGTTACAATGCTCTGTGCTACTTCTGAGCAGAGAGAACATGCACTTGGCATAGCAAAGAGGGCAATACAGGCGGCTGGCATGGCAAAGTATGCTCATATAGGCAAACTGGGTAACCAGCGTACATGCTCGACCAAGGGCAGCGCTCAAGCAAGAGCTTTTCATCCAAGCATATTAGATGAAAAGAAAAATATGCATGTGCCTCGAAGTGAAAAAGTTGTTCGACAGGGAATATCATGGGAGGCGTTTCATCGTGTAGATGTTCACGATAAAAAGACGGGGCATGCAAATGAACAAAAGAAGCGAGCCGGGACACCACAACTGCCTAGGTGCCTCCTAGTCGGGACACCCCAACCACCTGACATCCTGACATGCTGACGTCCCTTCATCAAGGCAGCCAATTTTACTGCCTTGACAAAGAAACGTTCACTGGTTGAAACATTGGTTCTAGCCCTCACCAGCTCAGCAACTTTTGATCACTGATTATAAATAGTCTGACCACTTATATTTTCACGCGAATCTGCTAAAAAAAAATAAAGCACGACAGTTTAAAGTGCTGGGCAGTATCTAATAAACGTTATGGCTTCCGGTGAATATACAACCCATCAAACAGGTTCAAAGCTTGCCTCAAGTTACACGTTAACAAAGAATCGGGTACGTCGGTAGTACAGACGACCAGAAAGAGCTTCATTGATTGATATGTGGGCTTTAACGTCCGAAAACCACATATGATTATGAAAGAGCTTACCGAGATAGACATATTGGTAATTGAAACAACAGCGCCACTTTCACATGCTAACACGAAGCTGTGGCTTGTGACAAACATCATGCCGATCTAACGCGCAGTTAGCCAAAACTTCAACAATGACAAAAGAAACAAGCATGTTCACGGTCCATACAAATAGAGCAGCCCATATGAAAGATAAAATAAGCAATACTTTCGATTGACATGAGGGGTTTAACGTCCCAAAACTATCACATGATTATGAGAGACGCCGTAGTAGAGGACTCTGGAAATTTCGACCACCTGGGGTTCTTTAACATGCACCCAAATCTGAGCACACGGGCCTACATTTCCGCCTCCATCGGAAATGCAGCCGCCGCAGCCGGGATTCGATCCCGCGATCTGCGGGTCAGCAGCTGAGTACCTTAGCCACTAGACCACCGCAACTGGGGCAATAAGCAGCAGTTTCACACACTGTTAATTAATGATAGGAAGAAGGTAGAGTAGAAGCCCATTAAGAGGTTATGCATAGGACCCTGAAAAGAAATAGGGTAGCCGGGAAATATATGTAATTAAAACACATGGTTAAAATTATGAGAAAGTGCTGCTGCATGATGAAACACACCAATTATATACAGCTCTAGCTCTGAAGGATTTATTCATCACATTAAAGCTTCGTAATGTCTCTGATGGAAGCCTGCCATTTCTTTGACACCTTTGAAAGAACTAAACTTTTCAACCTCTTGGATGACCCTGCAGCAGTCCATAGTGCCAAACTCATCGACCTCCTCGGCACATACATTGCAGTGACAGTTCGCAACATATACTGCACTCAAACCTCGATATAACGAATCTGGGTATAACAAAATATTGGTTATAACAAAGGAATTGAAGAATACACTTGCAATAGATAGTGTTCTAAATATATCTTTATAGAAAATTTTCTGATATAGCGAACTTACTTTCATGTAAGGTGCCAACTTTGTTATAAACAGGTTTGAGTGCATAAGGAAGGAACATTGGGAAAAATGTAGGGAACATGGGATACTGGCAAAGGTGTCTACATATTATTTGCTGGGACAGGATACCAGAAACGCTATGCACAAGTAAGTGAGGAATGTATGAGCAGTGTTCCAATCATGGAACACAGCACTCACCAGACCTCGCCGGACCATCTGGCTGACGAAAAAGTTTCCGTGAAACTCGTTGCGCGGCGAATCCATGGTGAGGAGCAGGCGGTAGGCGACCTCGTCCTGGCCCTGCGCCAGTAGCTGCAGGCACGCGTTAATACAGTCCTGGGTGTAGCCCGCCAGGCGCCGAGTCTTCTCCAGCAACTGCGCGAGATGCACAATCCAATCTTGAGGGACGAAAAAAAAAAAAAAAAAAAATCTACAGTAGATGGTCGCACGACAAAGCTGTGATTGCGCAATGATCCTCCTTTCTCCCTCTTGCAGAGCATTGCACAGGCCCTGCTGCCCTTGGTAGTAGCAGCCATAGAGTTTCTTAAAATTATCTAGAGCGGACCCTGGCACTGCGATCGTTCAGAGACTGAGGGAATGACGGGTAGTACACAGATTTTGCCTAGTCTTGGTGATTGCAAACTTCGAGCGCACTTGTGGCTTTGTTTATGCTTGTGTTTTCGTTTTGTTTCGAATAAAAGAATGATTCGTTGTGAACTTCGTCGTCTGATTTGAATTGGTGAGCCTAAAAGGTGGCAAACTGCAACCGCTGAACATTTCCCGATTGTCGTCTCGTCACAAGCAGCTCCAAGCCACGTGAAACAAAATGAAGCCGGAGGTACAAAAATTAGGCATATCCATGTACTATCCATCGTTCCCATGCTCACTGAAGCCCCGTGCGTTGCAGCTTCCATGGACACTTTCACCAGAGTTCCCTCTAGTGTATTTACAGGAAACTCTATGATAGCAGCAACCCTGTCACTGGGTTGCCTCAGCTTGTGAGCTAGCTTTTAAGGGTCTTGGAATCTCCGCTGGCAAAATAGCTCAGCTTCGTGGGCGAGTCCACAAACTTTCTACTTGCGCTTAGCCTCCACTTTGTGAGCTCGCAACAACGCATCTTTGGTCCAACGATGTGATCACGAGTGGCTAGCGAAATGTATGAGCAGTAAGGAAAACATGCGAGTTTATATTTATGCGATCAGCTAGCGGAATTACGTCCCGCCGTAGATCTGCCACTCAATTTGAAATGCACACACACTTGATTGGTCAAAGCGAGATCGTATGGCCTGACGGCTCAGCAAACAGGTCTCCTAGAAGTTTTCTGAGGGCGTTTTTCTGCGGACACTTGCATTTTACTGAGAGACAAATCCTGCTACTATTTAAAGCTGATTCCACTTTTCTTCGAACCAAAAAGAATGAAATGTTCACGTGCCTCGTTTCCATTTCAAAATACAATAGACTCTCAGTAAATGACGATCTGCTAAACGACATTGCTGCTTAAATTAAACAACTGTTTCTGATGATTGGTTTAGTACTTGTATTCAGCACCCCTGCTCGACTCTCAGTGAACTCCTGTTGTACATTTATTTTTCATATTCCCTTCGTGTTCTGTTTAACTACATATTGTGCAGGCTAATTTTCTTCATAATAATGTGATATATACTATTTCAATTTGATCTGAAATTATTCAACCAAGTCACCATGTGCTTTGAATGTGCTTCAAACTCGTGCATACCAAAATTTTACACATAATCAGAAGGGGATGCAGTATCATGCACTCTGCTAACAATGAAAGAAAGAAACGAAGGCACTCACGTACCATGTCGATCATGCCGTGGTGACCTGCGCAGGCCAGAACGCGCACTACGTCCAGCAGCAGCTCGTCCGGCAGGAAGGTGTCAACCCGATCAGCCTCGCGGAACGCCCTCTCCAGTCCCGCCTGGTCACCTCGCTCGGCACAGCCAACAAGCAGCGCGTGGAATGTGTCTGCGGTGGGCTCCAGCTGGGCATTCCTGAAAGGCCCCACCACCTGCCAGCTGCATCACTGATTTTCGAGAAGCAGAGACGATGCCGCCCCACGGCATCGCGGGTACTGGCCTTCTTGACAGCCAGCCCCCTTGGATTAAATTTCGCTTAGCAATCGGCCCCTTCCCCGTTTCGGACGAGCACAGCTACTGCTTGCCAAACTGTCCGCAATATAATGCAAGTGAGTTCTGCGGAAACCCGCGAAGTGGCGGAAGGGTTGGGAAAGAAAAAAAAGATTACCACCCGTTTGTAGCACAAAGCCATAAGGAAATCTGTATGGCTTGGAGCTACAAACAGGTGGTCGCCTTCTTTCCCTTTCTTTCTCCACAGTCTGTTAAGACGAGTGTAGCTCGCCTGCCTGATGGAAAAGCTTTCTGTCGTCATCAGAATCGTGAAAACATTCTCACAATGCTGACGGTAGCATTCAAACAGGAATGTTGAAAACAGCATTCTTTTGGGGGGGGGGTATTAGCAAGTCGTTCGACTTCCTTTGAGTAATTAGCGATAAACTTTATTAGGCTAATTTTATTTGTATGTGCTTTATTTCTATTCCACATAAAAAACTTTCTTATTTAGAAAAAAAAAATTTAATATTCGCTCGTGAACAAAAAAAAAAAGAAATTTTATGGAGTGCACTTCTCAAGGTATGAGAACCGTTAAAGGGCCAACGATCAACTGGGCATGTACCTACTTGTTGCTCAATTTTAACAAGGGGATACTGACGCTGAATTTTCTTTCACTTTCTCGAATTGTAGAACCACTCCGATAGTTGGAATCACCCTTCCGCCCTTAATATAACAGTAGTTAGCCTCCTGGAGCACTAAATGATCTATTGCCACAAACTCTTTTCAACCTATTTTACTTTCCGTTTTTAGGAAGGTGTGTCAGACATCACCTTGAGACTTGGTAGGTGTTCACGTGAGGGCAGGGCATTGCAACACCTTGCGACTCACTTCAACCATCTCGATTGTCTATGCTGCGTCTCATCGTACGACGCTAAACGGTGAGCGACAGAGTGTTCATTTACTTCTCCGGTGATGTTTGCATAGCTAATACTGCCTGGCGAGGCATGCGTGCGGACCAGGCATCACCAAAATCTTAAATTCTGCAAACTCAAGCAAATACCCTCACTTTAGCACTTCAACAAGTAACTTTCCAAATGCAAAAACTTTTTTTTGATAGAACCTGACACAGCCATCATGAAATCACAGAAAAGTCTGAATTCACAGATATCTTGAAGAACTATGCAACAGTGAAAAAGATATGCAATGCAAGCACTCTATCCAAAAGAGTAGCAGAAAACATACCTCATCACTTCCAGAACATTCCAGGCATTGTCGGTGTCCCTGCAAGAACAGCAAAAGATTGTCAATGAGTGCTGCCCTAATACTGAAAGCATTCAAAACAAGATGATCAGCAAAAAATAAAGCTGTGAAGTATATCACATTTATTTTCATAATTCTCGCACCCCCCCACATCGCCCAACAAATATACAATTTTTTTTTCGCAAGTAATGTAATTATTGCATCCCAGAAATTGCAACGGAAATGGTGTCTGCTCATTCCAGCCACTGATGATGATTGTGCACACATTGTGGTCGCTTCTTTTAAGCATCGTGCGTACTATAAGTGCGCGTAGACTCAATCCAAGCCAAGGAGGCAATTTTTTTTTTTTATTTGCATGCTACGGCGTGTATTGTCACCATTATTATAGGTTGTGTCCATTCTGTGGTTCCGCAATGGGGTGATACAGAAGCTATAGGGCTGTTTTTAAGTTGAAAGTGATTGATTATGCACTAAAAACGGCGACAGGGCCGCCGGTAGGCACTTTGGAGTCGACGAGTGTAGTGTTCGCTACTGGCAACGGCAGCACAAGCAGCTGAAAGCCCCCCAAGACGCGTTGGGCATTCCATAACTGCGGAAGATTCCGTGTTAGACGGCCACCAGCTCAAGGTTGATGTACGCTAGCCCTTTGTGTGCGCCAAATACTTGTGCGCGCACGCTTATCTTTAAGTGGGGAGAATCACGCACCTTCGGCTTTCACTGGAAAGATTGCGTTTAATTAACAGATGCACAATAATCACGTTGTTCGTTGGACAGGCCTTGTTTGCGAAAAGAGCGTGCTTTTCAAACACAGCGAAGTAACAGCTGAGGCACTCGTTTGTTCGCACTCATATCTGTACCTGTGATTACATTTCGTGCGTAGTTTTTGTTTAAACAGTGCATTAAGCGTTGAGCTGTTAACGTTGTTAGTTAGCTCTCGTCCTGTATGTGTTGTTTTAGTGTGTCACTTGTGCGTGAGGAGCGAACTGCACGCTTCAATCTGCTAGTCGTTCTCAGTGTTACATTCCAAATTGTTGCTATCATTGCATTCATTGCTTCGCCCTTGCGGCGAAACTGTGACTTTTTTCCTGTTACTAACAGATTGAGACAGCTTTGCGCACGCGGTGCCAAGACTGGAGGAAGTATGGAGCTGGCTGGCCTTCCTTGGTTCTCATTATTTTTTGCTTCTTTCTTTTTCTCTTTGTTTTACAGCATCTTTTACACAAGAATAAGTTCGTTATATGTGAAAATTCATTGCAAAGGTAAATTCTTAACACTATAAATGTATTACAACACTGTTCTTCATTTACTTCGTTATAAGCGATATTTTATTATATCCAGTTTTGTTATATCGAGGTCTGAGACGGTACAACGCACGACACTCACCCTGCACGGCAGTGGCCCAGGACCAGCGAGTTGAAGACTCGTTCGTTGATCGCCATGTCTTGGCTCTTCATGTGCTCCAGTATTTTGCTGCAACGTTAAAACAAGCGTTGCGTCGACTGACTGGCATGGCATCGGTGGCAACAGGTCATGAAGCTGAAGCATCGTGCCACGCGAGAACTTGCAAGTTTTACGCCAAAGCAGAAAACCAGCATGGCCAAGTTATTCATGCATACATAACAATCGTTACACATTTGAAAGAAAGAAACCCCAGCGATGCTTCTCTAGACACCGAATAACAAAGGACACCTCCAGGTGTAAGCACTAGATGGTGCACTGCTACAAGACAGCCAACGCTGCGCACCTATATGTCACACAACATGCAATAGAGATGAATACATAAGACTGACTAGTAAACTGTGCCCTAATACAGCATAGAGAAGCCTTGTTAATTCAAGTTTTATGCGATGAAAAAAAAAAAAGACTATTGCAGATTACTTCACGGCTCAAAAAAAAAAAAATATGAACGAATGCTTACATCAAGAATGAAGAATTCTGTCGCCATCTTTTCTATTTTGTAAAAAGAAAACAGCATGGAAGATGATGATTTTCATCATATGTGTATTGCTAAGCATGAAAAACAGTGCGCCGAGGTGGGACAACAAAAGCAAGCACACACACACAGTGCTGACCAACAAGAGAATTCATTACTACTTGCCAGGCAATAAATAGCAAGGTATCGGTGTGCTGTTTTTCATGCTCAGTATGTACGAACTGGCCCGCCTACAACTAGAGTACCGCGCAGAATTACATAATGAACGCACTTTTTTTCGCTAAAAATCTAAGCCAAGTCAGGAGGTGTGTTTATTATGTGGGGCCAATTTTATGAAAACTTTCTGGGGATGAAGGAAAAATGCGGTGATGCCAAAAAAAAGTTACGTGGCTCATCCTTTTGTAATAGACATGTGCGTACACTGTTTGGAAACAGCTTCATTGTTGCACTTCATTCATCTTCTGCAAGCTGTCGCCGTGCCGCCCGCGCACTACGTAAAAAGTGTTTTACCGCTTTATTTTCTTGCAATCGTTTAGCCACAACAGTGGCACCCACTGTGATCTTCAGGGGTGCTTGGAAGCGTGCGCTACGACGCACTTTGCGAACTCCGTTGCAACCTTGCACGATGACAGCGACGGCGATGTTGACATTGCAGTAAGCTACCACCAAAGCATCAAAACAAACCGTCGGTAACAAGATTAACAACAAAATACAGCTGCCTCCTCACTGTCCACATGAGAAGTGACTGAAGAAAATGTAGCCTACACATCTTGCTTTCCTTGCAGTACATGCGGATAACAAGCATGAAGAGCAAATTGTAACCGGGTCGTGAATGAGGGGTGCCTCTATGTTACGGAAATCTTCACGCTCGTTTCTGGGCGATGAGCGATTTTTGCTGGTTTTGAATGCGTGCTTCTTGAAGAAGGGAAAATGGCACCCTTGCAGAAGATAAAGAAGGGGGATAAAAAACATAGTAGAAAGATAAAAAAGAGAGAGCACTTGCCGCACAGAAGTGGCAGAGAGACGAAGGAGACAGGAAAGAGGGGGACACGGTCGAAGGAGTCCAAATACGGGGCACCACCAGCTGAGAGCTAAATAGCATCAGGAGGTCGTGAACGGGAAGCCGATTGGCGATAGCTATGGCGGCGTCGGAGATCGCGGGTGACACAAACGTTTGGCACGAAATCCAGCAATGAATTCCAGAAATCTGCAACGCGATGGTGACGACTGGCCCTTGCGACAGCCATGGTGAAAGCCGATCCTGTTGTTGTCGCTCTGTGCACGTGGTTACACTTGCGACTTACTATGCGACTTTTTCAGTTCAGGAGAAATGCTTCCCCCAAAGCAACTAGAAAGTGCGATATTGGACAAACTACATAATGTAGTTACGTATTTGCAGAAAGTGAAGGTTAGTTGGTGCGGACAGTTTCGTGACTTCCGCCCGCTGTGTGCCTATCTCTACACTCGCGATTGTATACTGCGAGTTTTTCACACTTGCGCCATTAATGAACACTTCTGTGGTGCATGGCTAATTAAAAAGAGACAGATTATGGGCGAAACACAGAAAAAAAAAAAAACGACGGGAAGCAGCAGGCGAAAGGGGGGGGGGGGGGGCGAGCCGAAGGGCGTTGGCATAATACAAAACGGAAATGATCCAACGGGCAACGAGGTGCCAGGTGTCGTTTTGTGAGACTCTGGCAGATAATTTAGGGGGCTCACTTATTACACGAGAGAAAAAAAATTCAAATATTGACGACTGAAGTTGGGGGTGCATTTAATACGCAAGTGCATTCATTACAGGAGCAAATATGGTAGTATAACTGCTCTTCCTTAGTGACTGTCAACACAACTAGCCACAACTGTGCACAAGGAATCTCAAAGTGTGAACGAGCGTCAACATGATGAAGTTTCGCTGTATCACAGACGAAGGTGCTCAAACAATAGAATGATTTCTTAAATGCCGCTGAGGCAAGTCAACCGTTGTGCCTCACCTGGCGCCGGCAATGTCTCCCTGCTGGCAGTAGCGATGGATCAGCCGCTGGAATGTCACCTGCACAATGACACGAGGGAGCGACTCACTTTCCAAACCTGGCTTTCCAAACATGACTAACAAGAAGCTGCCTAGTCAAAGTTTGTGGTCAAGACAGTCAACATAACTAAAAGGAAGCTTTCGCAAAGCAACCAACGCAACGAACCCTGGAAGAAGGCATTTCTCAAAAGAATTTGAGAGGCCCAAGTCCTAATGGATTTGTTTCAAGATGCTCTCCCATCTTTTCCTAGTCTGTACGCAGCAAATGATGGTCATTCTAAGCATATTTTTAACAATTTGAGCGTATTTGAACAGTTATGGTGTGGTGAACACTCACTGATCGATATTCCACCTCAACATCACCTCACTCATTAACATTTAAGTTATCGCAACTTCTCTTCAAATGTGTTTACATCAATCATTCCTGTTCAATGCTTTGCACACAGCTTCTTATTCCAGATTATTCTAATGGGCTTATTTACTTGGCACCTTTTTCGGTTCGGGTGAAATTCTTACTCCCAAAGCACATGAAATGCTTGATAGTGGACAAAGTACATAAAGTACAAGAAAATAATTACCCAGCTGAAACCAGCATCCAATTCAGCAAGTTTCAGCAAAATTGATAAAAAGTTATGGAAAAAAAATATTTCAAAGCAGCGCCTTGTGAGAGCATACGCATGTGCTCTACAACATAGGGTTTCCTAAATATATACACTAGAGGGAACTCTGGCGCTAAGGTCTATAGCAGCTGCAACGCACAGCACTTCAATGAGCACGGGAATGATGGGTAGTACATGGATTTGTTCAATCTCCATACTTCTGGCTCCGCCTGGGTTCATGTGGCTTGGAGCTGCTTTGTCACGAAACAACAATCGGCAAGTTTTCAACAGTTGTGCTTCCCCACCTTAATCTTTTAGGCTTACCAATTAAAATGGGGTCACAAAGTTTAAAAGGTGTTTTTTTTTTCTTTAAACACTACCGAAACACACCAATAAACAAAGCCACAAGTGCGATTCGACGCTCGCAAGTATGAAGACTAGGCAAATTTGTGTACTACCCATCATTTCCGTGGTCGCCGAACGATCGCTCTATGCTCTACAAAGCATTAGCTAAATGGACTGCCAACTGCTGACAAAATATCGAGATCGCCGAAAACAAACTTGGTCAAAATGTCTCTTTCCTATTTGTATGTTGCAATATCCTGTCAATCCAAAATTATTAAACTATGCTTTCGTGCCTACACTTCATCCTTCATGTCTGCATCAAAACTATTGCTTGTGATGCCGTGTTCCATGATGAAACAAGAGGCTCTGTACAATTCATTTTCAGCTGAGCCCTTACTCTGTTTCGTACATCAGGTGCAAGGCTACGAGAGAGAGTGAGAATCCTTGCCGTAGACACGTCTGTACCAAAAAAATTGTTTTATGTTTTACCACTCATGACATGATTTTGATGGTCAATAGCTTGTTATAGATTGCTTAACACTTTTTTGTTTTTGTATTGTGGCCTGTGCGATTAGCTCTAATAGTACTTAGTGTGACATGTGCCGAAACCACCATAATGTCCCCTGATGTTCTGTGCCAGTAACAGTGAACCAGTTCTATGCAGTGAACGAAGATGAAGAAGACAGGGAACTCACGCCAGCCGAAGATGTTATTCGTGTCTGACATTTTGACAGTCGCGTCTAGCTTGCGCCTTTGTTCGAGCCCCTAGCACGGGACAATATAATTACGAGGCACACTTTAGTGACTGACACATAAGATTTCGATCATTTGGTGAACTTTAATGTGCAATGACATCGCACGGTACATGGGCATCCAGAATTTTGCCTCCATCAAAATGTGACCGCCGCAACCGTGACCAAACCCACGATCTTCGAGTCGGCAGTTGAGCCCCGTAACTGCTGCACCACTACGGCAGACTGCAATCAGTTCTGGCAGCATGTAGCTAGAGCCAACCGCGCAGGGCATGTTTAAAACGAGAAAATTTGAATGGAATGTACGGGGACTTGCATATTTTGCAAACTGAACCTATTGCATAGAAGCCACAGTGTTGCACTTGACGCATGAAACGGAGTGTAGTGTCCAGGAAATGAACTGACCCTGTTGGGTTGAACGGAGGCGGCCTCCATTGTGGCCAGGAAAGTGGACGGGCAGAAGGAGAACTCGTTCTCGAGGTACACCTGCAGCAGGGCGTTGTAGTGGCTGGCGTCCAACGGGCAGCCGAGGGACTGCAGCTTCTCCCAGACTGCCCGAGCCAGTTCCCGGCGCTCGGACGGGGGTTCCTCACGCAGGAAGGCACCGCACATGCGCACCAGGAGCAGGCCCTGAGGACCCGAGAGACGTCCTGCAACACAGTGGCCGAGCACACACTCATCACGAAGGCACGCAAGTACAGTACTAGACTCCCGATACTTGGAAATCGAGGAGACTTGAAGATTTCGTTCTTGTGCATCGAAAGTTCTCAGATATGAATCGGGGCGAAATACCGACTAGGCTTGAAAATTGTCAGCTGCAGTTTTATGCACACATATCTATCATGAATGCCATAGCAGTACATAGTAATAGCAATCTTGTATTGAAAGACACCTTAACAGACGACAGAATTACAGCACATTTGTTCAAAGCTCTAAGGTATCCCTGTTTTCATTGTCACTACAAGGAACAAAGTCACCGAGCCCGATGACACACATGTTGACCAAGGGTATGTTACCACATGCTGCCAGTTACAGACGGTGCTGAAACTTGAAGATAACAAAGAAACTAGAGGAAAAATTAGAGGTCACATAGCATGCAAAGGAATGTAAAATAGGAGGTGTAACATAGATAAGAAGATGATACAATGCGTCAACAGCCTGGCGTAGCCAATATTCTGGTTGACGGCAAGAGAAAGAAATGGATCTGGCCTAGCTTTTTGGTGCATATAACAGACAACCGATGGACAGTAAAATCAATAGAATGGTTACCAAGGAGGGAAATGCTGTCGGGGAGGGCAATACAGAGAGCTAGATGGAGTGATGAAATTGAGAAGTTCGCATGGATAAAATGTAATGAGCTTCCACCTGGAGATCATAGGGAGAGGTCATCCTCCTGCAATAGACTCAATAGGGATGAAAATGATGATGATGATGATACCACAAGAAACTAGTTTAATATTGTTGCTCTTGGAAAGTTCAGAGCCGCAGCTGCCAGGTGGCATGCCCAGTGCACCACGTTTTTACTTAAAGTTTATTCAAAGGGCTGTTTATAGCTGTAGCACATTACTTAAAAGAGTACTGACACAAAGTTTTAAAATTTTGGGATTGTTGCTCGCAATAAAAGAACTGGTATCGAGCAACCTAAAACGACTACTATGGCGCTTGGGAATGCATCGAATATATTCTTATTGCCGACACCTTAGAAAGGCAATTTTGGTTTCAATATCGAGCAGGTGGCTTCTCGGTGACGTGTCAGAGCAGCACGACGTCACGTGAAGACAGCAACTAACGAAGTACCAGCGGCAAATCAGTCAGCAGCTCGTGGGTCACGCAAAAAATGATGAGTGATTTGTAGTCCAGTGTCACCGACAGATTTCCGCAATTTGGGCTGGGAGCAGGATGCAGAGCTCACTAATTCATGAACGGTCTTCACTCGCTGAAATGGTTTCCGTTGCGATGGAGCTGTCTTGCAGATGCTCGGCGACGAAAACCTCAATATCAGAACAAAAAATTTTATACATGTTGCCTGACTCCGATATGTGGAGATTGTTGACACTGCATATCTTCGAAACAAAAAACGTCCCTTTCACGATGTCGTCACATCGTGTCAGTACTCCTATTAGAAATAGTGCCTGAAATAAAAAAATTGCCCGCAGCTTCCCTCGGGGGAACACTGAGGAGGATGCGGACCATATAATTGGTTAACGGGGTGTTAAAGTGCGACTTACTTGGGTCGATGGCTAAATTGGTTAACGTGGTTGTGAAATGGGGTGTTAAATTGCGACTTACTTGGGTCGATGGCTAAATTGGTTTATGTGGTTGTAGGAGGGGGTGTTAAATGAGTGAACACGTACACACGTATGCGAAAGGGCGGCGCTGGTGGAAGGGACGTCGATCATTGTGTTTGTGGATTCGTTGGAATTCATTTCACCGCGACCTTGGACGTCGACGCGCCGTACAAACCAACCAACGAGCGGCAACTGAGCGAGCGAGCGCCGACCTTGAGTATATATACAGCACGACGGCGCATTCACTGTCAGCTGTTGAATGTTCTCGAAGCGCGACGCCACATGCGCGTCCACTGGAGAATCAGGAGAATTGTAGATGTCGAACGCGGTGTGTAGAGGAGGAAGGGTGCACAGATGGTGGAGGAGTGAAGCGCGCGCGGTGTGTAGAGGAGGAAGGGATGCACAGATGGTGGAAGAGTGGGCGACGGCGCGACGGCGCATGCGCGCGCGTCAGCTGTCGAATGTTCGAGAAGCGGTGCGGACGGCGCACTACAAGGCGCGAGTATAAGATGCTCCGCATCTAAAACATCTGCTGTTCTACTCATCTGCCCCACTGCCATTACCATCATTTCTGATGTACACGCCTCTTTCATGTGTCACTTTTGCAGCAATACGCTGCAAAAGTGACATTCTCAAAGTGTACTCTACTTGCTCAGAATGACACTAAATTCGACACTGCGACAAGGATATGAGGCTTGGAGGCACTTACCGATGGCAGCTGCCTGCGCCAGCACATCATCCAAGTCCTTGCGTGTCACCCGGCCAGTGCGGCGCACCTCGTTGTCGATGCGTTGAAGTGCTCTGTCAAGTTGGTGGCCCTGCCACTGCGTAGAGGAGGAGGAAGAGGAGGAGCTCTCTGCTTGCCGTTGCCAACACACTGGCCCTCCTGTAGAACAGAGCAATCAACAAGGCCTTGCTTTTGAGCTGTCTCAGCAGAGAAGCGACAATACAGGCCAAATTACTGAACTGGCAATTACTAACAGCATTAAAAAACAAGTCTAGAATTGAGTGAGTTCTTCACAGGCGAAGAAAAAAAGTGTAAATTGAAGAGTTCGTTTTTTTTGTTATACACAATAATGAGCTAACAACAATGATGCCAAGGAGCATATAGGGAATGTTATTGGAAGTAACTAATGCGAATGTGATGAAATAAAAGTAAACGAAAAAATAACTTGCCACCGGCAGGATCTGAAGTGGCGACCTTTTAATCGTTCAGCGCTCTGCTACTGAGCGACGACAGCGGTCGTCCCTCCGTCCACTTTATATGGTATAAAATATCACAGGTGAGTAACACAGAACTGAAGAAGTCTTGACACCTTTCAAGGCTGGTAGCAGTGAAGCTTGGCATCAAGGCAGATGATATGGCATGCGTCTAAGTCGGATACAACTATCGAAGTTTGTGGCGTTTGCTCTACAAAGGCATATGTGCCCATACTGCAGACTGACGTTGTGAGCTGGACAACTGGTGACCCCACCTTTGGAAAACATTGCCGAGTGCCTTAATGCAAGTATTTCTTGAGAAAAGTCATGTAGGCCATCTGCTGCCCCGGCCGTATGGAAGGGGACTCTCTAGATTTAGGTTGTATCCGACTGTACGTCATGTCAGCCTACGACGTGCTGTCAACTATATCTACGCAACCTTCCTTCAGGATGGCTTGATGTGCCCTACTGTCAGAGGTCAGGACGTGGAGATTCACATTTCAGGTCGTGCCCCATTCAGGCACCACTCCCGGCGAAATGGTCATAAAGGGTTTTTTTTTTTTACTTAACTCTTTACTGCCGAGTGTCACAAATTTGCAACATACCAAAAAACTTTGACCAAGCAAGTCGCAGAATGCATTCCGCCTTTAATACCGGCTGTAAAGTACTCATGGGAAACGTAGCTTTGAGCAAAATAATCTAGTGCCGTCTTGTCTATGCTACTTTTAGTTAGAACCAGTTGTTTTGTAGGTGATGGTGGAGAGTGCAGAGCGTGTGCAACAGTGCTCACTTCTTTATTTTTTTTTCCGCCTGGGTGGTGCAAGTTATATCTTCAGTAATAGTTTATTCTGTGTGTACTCACCCCAGAGGTGGCACAAGACATGTTAGGTAGTTCTGCAATACGTTTTTTTGTTGTAACTCGCTTCTGTGGCATATGTAGAAATTGCAACGTTCATAAAAAGTATGCATTGAAGTTGCATTTTAGATAACTGAACTGCGGAATCACTTAGGGGTTACCATCTAAAGTTGAAAAATAAAAATAAAAAGGTTTTATTTCATTCGGTAGTTTCATAATTCAGACACTAAAGGGTTAATAAGCAGAACTACAAAAAAAGTAAAGAGAGAGAAAAGAAAAAGATGAACGTAATTTTGGGCAGCTTTCCCCTCTGCTTTTGGTCATATCTCAAATGTCACTTTGTTCAAGGGCTCCTTTAGATCTGTACCATCTGATATTAAGCCTTGTATGCGTGACAAAAATTGCACAGTTAATCATACCTGAAAATCATGAATGACGGTGCAGAAAAAAAAAAACTTCATCCTCAATCAGTCACATTTACACATTTCATGATGACTTCTTACCGCCCCGTCGCGGTGGTCTAGTGGCTAAGGTACTCGGCTGCTGACCCGCAGGTCGCGGGATCGTATCCCTGTTGCGGCGGCTGCATTTCCGATGGAGGCAGAAATGCTGTGGGCCTGTGTGCTCAGATTTGGGTGCACGTTATAAAGAACCACTGGTGGTCGAAATTTCCAGAGCCCTCCACTCAGCGTCTCTTATAATCAATGGTGGCTTTGGAACGTTAGGCCCCACATATCAATCAATTATCAATTGATGACTTCTTACTAATTAGGCTACCAAAGTGTCCATGTGATGAAAAGTTTAATTGCAGTTGTCTTCTCATTTGTAAGGCTTAAAAAAAAGTCATACTAGGGACTTCTAAATGTGTAGTTACAGCACAATATATCTTAGTAAAATTTTTTTTTTAGTAAAGCGAGGTTTTCATTTGAAATACTCTCAGGATCAACAGATATTACAGAGGGGAGTAGTAAAACATTACAAACAATGATTTAAGTAAAAATAGACAATACAATGCAACAATAGTTAATGATAGGCACTGTATAGCATGAATTTACAACGGAAATATACACACTACAAGAAATAACAGCCTTTCTAAATACACAATAATAGCTATTACATGGCAATATACAACAGCTAATTGCACTATGTAACATTAATACAATTGTGGCTATGGAGATTTAGGATACAACAAGGCTAACCAAAAATTGTTTAACCAAGTCTCAAATATATCATGATCAGAAATAGCTACTAGTGATATAGCAAAACAGTTCCAATCATTTGATTTGCACGGTATATATGATTAGCGGAATGATTTGGTATTAGACGACGGAATGCCAACCTTATGAGCATGATTCAAGTGGTGTGAGATACAACGAGGAAGAAGTATTAGCAAACGACATAAGTGGCAATGATGATAGAGTTTGTGAGAAAGTGTCAAGCAGAGCATTGTGCAACAAGAAGCAAGTGTAGGTTAATTTAAGGTAAGTTTTCATCAGTGTAATGCTCGCATTTTGGTCATAATTGGAAAGTATAAAGGGGACAGAGTTAATTTGTACCATTTCTAGTGAATGCACCGAATTATTATGGCATGGATACCAAAGCAATGTGCCATATCCAAGTTTAGTATGAATGAGTGTTTTATACAGCATTAGGCAGGAAGATGAAGCTGATTTTGCAAAGTTACGGCGGAAATATCCGATCTTGCTATTACCATTACAACGCAGCTGACGTTCAACAATTCCAAGTCATAAAGAAGGCAAGCCTTACAGTTCCCTAGATAATTTACTGACTTTTAGGCAGCCAGTTTCGGTTTAGCTTAAGCTGGAACGGGATGACAGAGGCGATGAGTGTATAAATTAGTTTTCTTTGAAACCATACTCTCACACATTAAATATTTTGGCGCACATCCGACGAAATAGCAGCAATATCATCTACTCGGCTTTTAATGCAAGACAGTGTGGGTTGCACTTTACAGAGTTGAAAAACGTCAACATTAAAACTTCGTTTCGTTCCCTCCTTTCTTCTTTCCTGTGTGAATATTGTCTGACTTATCTTATAGAGATATTCGTTTTTAATTTGCACTGAAGCAATATCTCAGCACTGCACCACAAACTATAATCCCTCGGGCAGCGTCCGCGAAATTTTATCACTTCTTCTCAATTTGCTCTTGAAGTGTTTAAATAAAAACCAGCACATGGAAGCCAAATTAGATATCCGCAAAGAATACAACTCTCGACGGTTCTTCCTAGTTTCAAAGACCGCTCAGAGAAGACCTGCTTTCGCCACCGGCACCAGGGAAGTTTGGCTATAGAGCTACATTTAGAAATATTACACACGTAGATCCACTTTGCGGCATCGCTGGTGCACGCTAGTCACGCTAACAATAAATGGAGAGAAAATATCCGACTTTCGCTTGGTAACCGCTCATCTCCGCCGATTGATGTGCCGGGTGCGCAATTCAAAGGAGACTCCAGCGTCACGCGACCTTGCACGCCAAGTCAAAGTGAAACCACTCACTTTGCGTACAGTGGAGAATAAAATAAAAAAAATAAACGCAGAACCAAGCAAAGCTACGGGTTATAGAGCTTCTTTAGCGGTCGTCCAATAGATTACCAACTAGCACGTGGGAGAGCGCTCTTACCGTTCGGAGACATAAGTCGTGATGACCGCATGCCGATCTTTGCGCACGTAATACGACGCCGCTCGAGCAGGGTACGCGATTCGTGGAAGCAGTCGGCAAGCGCTCAAAACTCTGGTTACGCTTTTCACAGAACGCACCACACCAGCCATGGTTGTTTCTTCGCCGGGTGCCCTACGGCGTGCTTGATACCCTCAATCGGGCCTGCGAGAGCAAGCTCTTCTGCTCTAACGCTTTGGATTGTCTTGGATGGTAAATATAGAAGGAGCCTGAAAATAAGCCACAAAAATGGTTGGGATAGTCGTTGTTGGGATTTACCGTCACAGCTGACGTACCCCAACCTGGTCGTCATGAATAAAGTTAACCCGGACTGCGGGGTTTTGATTTATTGTAGTAATTGTGGGGGCTTGCTCTTTGAACACATGCTCTGACGCTGTTCCAGCATTGGCCGGTGCGGTTTCTCACGGTGAACATTGGTGGCAGCGAATGCTGCACAGTGACGCGCTGGCGGACCAACTCGGGGCTGTCCAGAGCATAGTTTCTCAAAAGGAAACTGTGGTCCAAAGGGCCCGTGTGGCGGCAGAGGGGCTTGGCCTCTCTGTCCCGACGTGGGAGCATGTTTGGTTTCCCACTTGTAGTCTGCTTCCCTATTAACCTCTTCATAAATGGTATTCCTGCTAATGGAACATATTCTCCTGGTTCCTTCAGGCTTTGTTTGAAGGGTTCCTGAAACGGTTTTTTCACATAACACTTTTGATTAGACCACTACTGGAGCAAGTCATTGGCACCATAGTTCAATCAAAACACCTTATTAACAAAGCTACGAGTAATAAATAGGTACCCTCCATCTTTGCCTTTCGTTCTCAACTACCTCAACTCTTCCTTCGAGCGCTCGGGGCTAAGCTCCGCCTTCACGCGGCCTGTGCTGAGTGACGATAGTTATAGCGCGAGAACAAAACGACGACACGTCGTTTAGTTCTCGCGCTTATAACTATCGTCATGCCATACCAACTAGCCCAAGCTGCCAGACTTCTATGTGCTGAGTGTTCCGCAGACAATCAGATCAGCACCCATGGTGATGTCAAGTGGGCAGAGCACGTCGTTCTGTGAATGGACAGTTGAATGCGCTTTAGCGTGAGTGGTTCTTAAGAAAGAGAAAGGAAGAGAAAAGTGAGCCCCGTTATTGTCTGCTTCAGTGAGCGACACCACCACAGAGCTCACAAGGGATGGGGGTGAGGAGGGATAAAAAGGGTAGAAGTAAAGGTATAGAAGTATAGTAAAGGGTAGAAGTAAAGGGTAAAGGTAAAGGTATGCTCCCATTTGCTAGCCTGGGGTTGAATTTCACTATAGAAAACATACTTTCCTTCGGTGCTTACGATCTGGGCTTCAGCCACGAGAACGTTTTCTACGCAGTTTGCAAGTACCTGAACGAAAGTAAAAGAATTAAGCTTTTAATTGCGTGATTATTAATCATGAAACAAAAAAAAAATAATTCCAACGAACACAAGAGCATTGTTTAACTATCCTGATTCTTATTCAAGGTAATGAATAGTTGTCTTATCTGCACGAGTGACAAGCAACTATTGCACTCCATTCATTCTGACTGGGGTGTCTTTACTTTTTTCATTCTTTTTTCTGGTGGGTGGTTTCAATATATAAAAAAAAACAAAAAAAACTTAATTAAGTCATCGATTCTTGGCCAATCCCCCTGAGTGGGTACGAGCCATGTCTGTGGATTCATCATCATCATCATCTGAGGGGATAGGAGAGACAGGAAAGATGGAAGCACGGTCACTGGAGTCCGAGGACGGGGTACACTTGCGAGAGATGTTGTCGGCGTCTGTAGATGGCGTAGAGCAGGTCCAGTAAGTCAGAGCTTCACTGTAGTCGAAGGTCGTCGGCGGCAGGAGGTGACGTAGGGCGAGCCCAGTCGGCCAGAGCTACGGTGACGCCGAAGGTCGCAAGCGCGCGGGCGCACAACCGGTCGGCACGAAATCCAGCGAGCGACTCGCGCTTTGGCGAGTCTCAGCGTTTCGCAGGTGTTCTATGGTTTCGCAGCTTTAAAGCGTCACATTACAAAGTTTACGCAGAGGACTCAAATTGCTTTGTAAATGATCCTTGGGACTTGGTCTACCCGCCCAAAGTGTTTCTACAAAATTATCAAAATCATTTCAGGGTCCTTTCAATGAGACTGCTGTGCTTTCAGAGCTGCTTCTTCCAGAAAGAGTTTGTTTTTGTGGGAGAGGCTAGCATCAAAAGTTTAGAAACCACTAGGTGCGAGAAGACTGAATTTTCCAGCGATTCATGACCATATTCACTTGAACTGTGGAGTACATGTTTGTGCAGTTTAAATTCAAGAACATGACAGAAATTCAAATTCAATGCTGCCTGCGAAATAAGCTAGAGTGTTTGACTTTTCTTTTTGTACCTAATGTCCATAGATGTCAGACTTTACCACTGAGAAATGTGTCCGATGGAGGCCACATTCACTGCTTACAAGTCTTTTTCACGCTTTATGAAAGAGATCAGATTCTCATGTAACTTTTCTCGCCAGCCATGTTCTTTTGATTACTTTCCTCTTTGACGGGAAGTACCCCGGCAGACCTCTCAGTGATTGTCCAAACAGTTCAGACTTTCCTCTTTTCCCGTTTTTACATGGAATGTTTAGTATTTCCTGCAGGGCCAGTGAATTCTATTGCACTGCGCTCGACGATTCCCAATTCCTTCATGTCCTAGAATCTCCACTGGTGATGTCGGGAGTCTTTGCAGAATGTAACAGTGAAACTTTTTGTAAGACAGCTGCCAAAATGCTGGCGCTATGAAGCTCCAAAAAGGTCTTCTGCCTTGACACTGTAAGCATGTCCACAGAAACCCCATGGTACACTTTTGTCTAGAATTCGCCAAGTTGATGCTGTTTTCTCAATGTAGTTGTCTGTGGCTGATAAATTGAGTGAGCACACGTGTAAACACAATGTAACAAATTATCAAGCCAAGGAAAGTATTAAATTTGTAGTATTTGTGGTCTAAACGTGAAGAAATTAAAGTGGACAAAAAGAAAACTTGCAGGAACCTGAACATGCAACCTTCAAGTAACGCGTCTGATGCTCTACTAAGTGCGCTACGGTGACAGACGTGCCACTATTTGCTTTCATTGGGCATTTAGTGCATTTAATTCTTTGAATGTCAGCGTCGCTTGCAGCCAAGGCGGTTCTTTCTGCTGATGTTGCATAGCACATTATCTATTTACAATCTCACAGCTCAAATAATATCTCGCATACTACCTGAAGGCATCATCTTTGCCAGGGCATGACCCTTTCTATTAATAAATAGGTGAATTCTTTAGCATGATTGCCTGGTATTTTTAATTGTCTAAAAGAGAAAAAAATGAGCTCATGAAAAATTCCCATTTTGGTAGAAACTTATAAACCTTTACTTGTTTCCCTTGGAAGCACAAGCTTTTTGTAAGACAGCTGCCAAAATGCTGGCGATATGAAGCTCCAAAAAGGTCTTCTGCCTTGACACAGTACGCATGGCTGTAGGCTGATAAAATCTGGAGAAATGAGGCTATAACACTCATGTGATGAGTGTTATAGCCTCAAGCTCATGTGACTTAGCAATGATGGTAAGAAATTCCACATCCCCTCTGAAGTATGTTTGCAGCCACCCGACTCATCATCAACCAGCATAAACCTTTACCCAAGTGCAACATACTTCAGAAGAGAGGACATTTGGGTGTGCCGGCAATTTATCGTGCTTCAGGAACCATGGTGCACTACATGCACACTGGACAAGATGGAAGATGAGACAAGCGCTTATCTTGTTTTCGTCTAGTCTCGAGTTGATTTAGTGCTCCATACTTTTCAAGTCTGATACTACAACTGTTTGTTGCAGCAGGATCCTTTGAGACTTTTGGTTGTGGTGGATGCAATCCACTCATTTCATCCTTTATTCCAAGGAGCTCAAACTCTCCTCGGCTGGTTGCCCACCACCATGTTCTCCCACAAGGGCCGGAACAGTGACAAAGATTGGAGCAAAAAGGGGGGTGTAAACAAAATGTTGAAAGCCCTTTGCATACGTCATATATGAATAATTTATTAAGGGCATTTGACGTCGTCATGATTCAAGATATTGTTACGTAGGTGTTGATGCCAGTGTCGACTAGAGGACACTTTAACCTCATCTATGGCAAGAAGCGTCTCTAGTCGACACTATCGATATGTACGTATCAATATGTACCTGATACTGATCTTCAGAATCGCTGAAATCCAGACACCGATCATCAGATATGAAGTTTTTGGTCCACAGTTATTTTAACACATGGTAATTGCATGGAATTTCACATGAAGAAAGTGAGAACAGCAATGCCAACGGTTTTGTTGCTGCTTCTGTGTGCATCGCTTTACATTATGATGCTCCAAAACGTCTCGCCACCAGTCGTGTGTGCATTAGGCGCGGAGCTTTTTCTTTACTTACTTTTGTGATGTGCAATGCACAAAAGTCTTCCCATGTGGCAAATTTTCCGTAAAAGCAAAACAGACAAGCGGACTGCATACCGTGGCCAATCCTATTTATTAACAAGAGCTTGGGACTTTGAGCTAGCCAAAACGAGTAAATATAAGTGTTGCAGACACTTTCAACCAGTGCTCTTGCGGTGACACTTGCACCATGAAACAAATACAGAAATGTGGTGAATGAACCCCACCGATGATGTAACAGGTCAAACATTTTGCTGTTGAAACATTCGCTTGCCGTCACATGGTGAAATGCTAATTGATGCTTTTTTGACGGCGAAACGGACGCAAGGCGGCTGGAGAATCAAGAGATGACGAGCGGGCGGTCGGCAAACGAGATGTCCGCCACGACGACGTTGCCGCTTATCGTCTCCAGCATGAGCTGCAGGGTGGTGCCATCGTCATTGCTTGCGCCACGCAATGCAAAGTCCACTAGTCGACACCCGTTCGCAGTAAGACGCTCCGCGTCAACTGGCGTCTTGCGCTCCGCGTGCCGCTGTGGGCAGGGCGCTTCGTCCTCCTCGTCGCTGGTGATTTCAATGACTTCGGGCTCGGGCTGCTGTGACTGGCGCTTTTCGATGCGACCGCTGGACGACTGCTGGGCTGCACTGGGAACTGCATACGTGCAATGCAAGCTGGGCCTTTATACACACACACACACTTTAAAACATGCCGTGACACCTCTTTGCCCATGAACACAATTGTGACTAACTGCTGATGCAACGTAGAAATGATTGATTGATTGATTTGTGGGGTTTAACGTCCCAAAACCACCGTATGATTATGTATGTAGAAGTGAGTGTCTGCCAAGTTACACGAGTACATGTGCTGTCTGCCAAGAGCAGTAGTCGGCAACTGCTTTGCGAAATATCTGGTAGGTGTTTATTGCTTCCGCCACTAGGTAGGATGTGATGAAACAAAACAATTATTGCTATACTGAGCTCAGATGTTGGCAAAAGCTACCTTGGCGAAAAGCTGTTCAAGCCAATCCTCAATGTTTTTTTTTGGTAGCAAGACTGTTGACCCGAATTTTATAACGATCCAACTTTTTGTTCAGTAGCGATAACACTGGAAAGAAAAACGCACAGGTATTGTCCACGTTTTAGTTGTCGATTACTCCGACCTCGCGCTACCGATTGCTATTCTCCAGGTCAGCTAAATTTAGGTAGAGTGATCGCCCTGAATAAGCATTGGACCTGTTCGACACCCAGACTAGTAGAAATTTTTTGTCAGCAAGAAAGCCTTTTTCTGTGAAAAGCTTGAATGGATCTCCTTACGAGCATTAGAGAAACACTGAAGGCAAAGGAGAATTTTCGTCAGAGTGAAAGTTCAATATTCGCAGCTCTCACGACCTATTGGTGGCGCGACTATACACCCAACATGGCGGTCATTGAGATGATCGCCCCGCAAGAGACGTTAACGGAAATACATTTCTGACGACGCCTGCAATTCTTCGCGCTTTGGTGGCCCTTGGATTTATGTTTTTGAGAAAGTAGGGGAGCGCTAACATACTATGGCAAGTAAATAAATGCTGGGTTGCATATTGGGCAGATAAATATGCGCAAGCAAACTTGTATGGTATCGAGCTGACGAACTCAGCGCGAGAACTGCAAACCATTGCCAGATCACTGTACTCGTGCAGAAAATGGGCGCTGCAACATATTCACGAGTCTTGGTTATTTGCTTGCTAAATTAACCCTCTTGACCCCTGATGGCTCTTTGGGGCGCCGATTTGAACGGGACGCTTAATTTTCCTCCTGGAGCATTGAGGCTCGCAGTGAAATAGTTTTTTTTTTCTTTTTCTTTCCATTTTCCCTCTTACTTGAGAAACTCAGAGTTATGGTAATATCGAGATCGTTCACAACGTTGAATAATGACCACAAACGCGTGAAGACAAGCAACAGTGTCTGCTATTTGAAGCAGGTTCAAAGTTTCAATCATCTTAACAGAGGTTCCGGCCGCCACCTGCTCAGCGGCACCACTGTACCTAAAAGTGGCGAAACGACAGTCTGTCTTATCAATAGCAGTGCCTTACTTACTAAGAAATTAAGCTATAATGTTTCACACAACGTGCACCATGACTGGGAAATTTGCGAAATGATCCTGATGACGCGAGAGTGTGCGCTTATGATTATTCACCAGTAATCAAACTAGCTGCAATTAAAAAAAAACTTCCCTGCATCAAGAGTCATAATAAAATGCTGCTTGTCTGTTTTTGTTCGAATCATTACATTTTACAGAAAAAAAAGGACCGCCTGCTGTAACTATGAGTAATGGCCTGAGTAGTTCAAAAAGCTCAGTTTTTGGCTGGTTAGTCTGGATAGATGGTGCCATCTAGCAGGGCCCAATAGAACCAATCATGGCCTCCGAGGTTGCAGAAAATTGTTTAATGGCTGTTATTGCTACAGCGGTTCCCGCTACTTTACGCTCCACTGCTACTGGTGTAGGCGGCCACGTAGTAGAGGCTTGCGTTGAGCGCGGAAACAGTGACATACATGCAAGAGTCAGCCTTCACGCGCGGGAAATTCGAAGTGTGTTAACGCGATGTGGACCATTAAAACGTGATTTCGTTTCAGAATTAGCACTTCCTCGGCACAAAAGTAGCACTAGTACAAGGTTTCTGGACCGCAACTCCCACAACCAACACCAACCTAATGTTTGCCTTTAGTGTCCCTTTAGTTAGGAAGGGCGTGCAAAAGGCCCTCCCCTCCCTACCTCCTTTGCAACATGCGCTGGCACCCTTAAAGGACAAAACTCTGCCGATGCCCGTGAATCTCCTCGGAGCTTCGGGTCTATGAAAAGGGTGCACCAGCTCACGCATAAAATGACAGAAAGCCGCATGCGGCAGGGTAACTTACCTCGGTTGATGATCTGGCGGCACTCTGTACAGATCCAGTGTGCGCCTCCCACATTGCCACAGGATGCATGGACACCCTGGGAGCCGCAGCTGTCGCACACCACGATCTTCCAACGACTGCGCAGCCATCAATTCGCATCTGACCACCATTTCTAACCTGGTAGGCAAGGCCGCGGAAGATAGGCAGGTAGTGGAGTCGCAGAAGTATCACTACGGCCTGTCCGTCAGTGCCGTTGGCTAGCTTCGATAAGCAAAAACTTCTGCGGAGCAACTATAAGTGGAACCTTCCGTCTAGTACAACATAAACCGACGACTCACCAGAATGTGCGATCAGATCCTGGTGGAAATGAAAAGGCTGTAGATTAGAGTGACAGATTCTGATATCCTTACAGACCTGAGTGGGGTTTATATTTCGAAATTGCATTCAAATGTCACAAAAACAACATTCCACCGTGCAGGCCTATGGGAGAACCTCGAACCTGGATTATGGAGTATTTCACTTTCCTGTACCTGCTCCTATACTTGCAAGTGCACCAAAACGAGGGTTCAAAGTTAGGGTGTACGTAATAATCCGTTGCTGTTCTATTCTGCACTTCTTGCGAGACAAAGAGTTTACGATCAGAAGCAGTGGCTACACTTGCGGCAACTAGTGGAACATGTCAAGTTGCAGCGCATGCACACAGAGCACACACATGCGCAGCAAAGCTCAGAGCACAAACTCGAACCGCAGATGTGCTCACCGCATGTCATTTGTTGCATGTGTCGTGTGTACGACTAGACACTTGCCGCAGATCTGAAAATTCTGATTACGTCTTGTGGTAATTTCAGTGTTACTGTTTGGTGATTAAACACTGACTGGTAAGCTTTATCAATAGTACTAAAGAAGAGAGGCACTATTAAAATTGGTTGTCGGTACCTTTCGGAAGTCTGCAAAGGCCCAACCAAATCACCGAGCGTGACAGCCTGTAGCCTTCGCGACTCAAGAAATGCTATTCCCACTCATGCGCTCGGCAATGTTTTCCGGAGGCAGGTTTATCGGCTCTCGACGTCAGTCCGAATCGCATATCTGTTGGGGCAAGGTAGTGTGCATCTGCCTTTGAGGAGCAAATGGCAGGGCCTTGTAAAGTTATACTCAGCAGCAGTTCAGCCTGTTTTTTCGGGTACCACAAGACAGCAAGCAAGATCATATTATTGCTTTATCTGAAGCAAGCTTCAAAATGGGTAAAATAGGTGTAGTATGCGATGACATCAACACCAAAGACTCAAAGGGTATTCAGTGTCACTATTCCACGTAACAATTTATGCAAAGCAGCATTCTTCAGCGCCCCACTGTATGGGCTGAAACATGTCATTCGTGGTTCCTTGGAATCGGCAGGGCAACAATAACTTTAGAGTTACACAAACAGCAGCAATATTCCACTTTTGCAGTCCCCTCGCTCAATTTCGTGTGAAAATGTGGCCAAGTTAACTGCGTAAGAGATGCATTGCCCCACGAAAAAGAGTACGCAGAAAAACACACCATGCAGTAAGCCAGAGGAATTCCCGCTGTACTTCGCACATCACAACTTGTAGATGGAAGAGTATGCCATATTACGAATGATTCGTTGGCCACGAGTTTTCCAATACGCAACATGGCATATACCGGTGATGAATGCTTTTGGAATGCATAGATGCAAGTAGCAAATTCACGTTGCTTTCCAAGAACAAAGCAAACCACAACAGATCTGCAGCCTTTCACATATTAAGTTGCGCTTAGTACGGTACATTTCACATGTCAGTGAAGAGAGCACATCATTTGTTTTATTCGAAGGGCATATTTCAGATTTTATTGTTTGGTAGAAGTACGGCATTTATTGCAGTTTATTTGTCGTATGTCCCTTATTCTCTGAAATTCCCAAGTTTAATTTTGCGTTATTCTTAACCCTCCAATATCTCAGATGACACGACATTTGAACACCAGACCATCACACCACACAAAGTTCATTTCAGTTGACCGGAAGGTTTGAATGTACTATATGCGCCAGATAAATTGCGAACAGCAGAGCATAAGCAACGGTACGCTGTGCTCTGTCCAGTTACCACCACTGACATGTGCGCACATCCGGTTTGACAGCCTTGCGCGATGCCCCCCATAACGCAATCTTTTTGCTTGTGTTCTAGTTTCTTGTATGGTGATGATAAGAGCCGGTGTGGGCGGGTGGAACGCTTATTGGTGTTTCACTTCTTTTCTCCTGCTACTTTTGTCGCCTTCGTTGTGAATATCCGAACTAGAACAGAAACATAAAAATTAAACTACAGGGAAATCAAGCAGTGCTGCCACACCGGATGCATCACAGCACTGCCGAGAGAGTCTGTATAATTGCTATTGCAAATATGACGCAATTTTTTCCCACTAAAATAAGTTCTTTGGGTTAGCTCTGCCTCCAGTACCGCTTTTGTTTAATTTGTGCATTCACCTTTCGAATTTTCGTACTGAACCTGCATATTACAAAATCCTCTTTATAACAACTTTTTCTGGGAATTTGTCAATTTCGTTACATCCAGGTTTAACTGTTCAACCTTAAAGCTTGTTGCAGTAGACCCAAGCATACATTACAAGGTCAGCATAACCCATGTCATGCGCATGCCCCAGTGCTGCCGGGCGACCCTATAATAAGATGTTATCGTGCTCCAGAGGGCACTACATACGTCTACATGTATCGCTCTGTGTGCAGCAAGCCCATCGTTAAATGAGTGATGGGCACAGTCTAGGAGATTCTTTTAGCATGTAGCGAAGTTTATACTGGCTTAACTGCCCAACTTATCAATGACCGTTTAAAAATTGCCCATGTCGGTAAAAAGCAGAAAAGGGTCATATTGGCCCTTTAAACTAGAGAGCTTAGTTAGTAGATAGATCGGAATTGTCAAAAATTTACAGGCGAGTGTTTAATCATTTTTTTTGGTCTGACTGTATTTACTCGCGTAATGAACGCACTTTTTTTCTCGAAAAAAATCGGAGCAAAGTTGGGGGTGTGTTTATTATGCTGGGCAAATTTCATGAATACGTTTACGGTATGAACAAAAAATGGGGAAATGCAAGAAAAAGTTAGGACACTTAGCCTTTCGCAATTTACATATGCGTACGCTAGCAGTTTCGAAACAGCTTTTTTTGTTGCACTTCGCTCATATTCGGTGGTTGATGGCGCTATCTTCGGCAAGCTTTCCCCACGCTGCCCGCGCATGCCATAAAAGCATTTCACGGCTATTTTTTCTCGCAATCGTTTAATAGCAACAGTGGTATCTTCTGTGACCTTGAGAGGCGCCCAGAATAAGCGTGCGCTACGACGCACTTTTCCAACTTCGCGGCAACCTTGCACAACAACCACGACAACACCATTGACATTGTAGCAAGTAACCAACATTGCAGCAAGCTACCACCGAAGCATGAAAACAAACCGTCGATAACAAGTTTGACAAAATATGGCCGCTGCATCGCTGCCCACACGAGAAGTTACTGTAGAAAAGGTAACCTATATATTGCCTTCCTTGAAGTGCGCTCGAATAACAAGCCCGAAGAGCGAATTGCAACTGAAGCGAGAATCGGGGGTTGCTACCATGTTGCGGAAATAGTCAACATTTTTTTCTGGGCGAGAAGCGATTTTTTTCTCCTGGTTTTTCAAAAGCCTGCGCCGAGATGGCGGCGAATGGCCTTTTGCGACAGCCATGGACAGCAAATTCCTGCCGTCGCTCGAAAATCGTGTGCATGTGGTTGTGCCTTAAAGTTTCGTATTTGCAGGAAGCGACCTTCAGTTGGCGAGAGCAGTTTCGTGACCTTTGCTTGCTGTGTGCTTGTCAGCGATGTCTCTACACTACACACGCACTGTTCGTGAATGCCGCTGTAGTGCGCAGATAATTAAAGAAGACTTGGTACATGCCGCGCACAGGCAGAAAGAAAAACAATACGGCGCAGAGCAGTGGGAGAACGGGGAAGGGGGGGGGGAAGTGAGCCAAGGTGGCCGACAGAAGGTGGTCGGCATGATGAAAAGAGGAGGAGTTTCAACGGACAAGGAGGCGCCAGCTGTCGGTTAGCTCGACTGCACCGGACGAATGTAGGGAATGCGTTTATTACACATAAAAAAAAAACAATTAAAATTATGACGACTGAAGTTGGGGGTGCGTTTATTATGCGAGTGCGTTCATTGCGCGAGTAAATACAGTATTTCAAGACCCTAGGCCCTGAGTACTACACTCAAACCTCATCATAACAAAGTTGAAGCTTACACAAAAATATGTTTGTTATATCCAAAAATTCCTAATCTATCTGCTGCAAAACTACTTCTTCATTTCCTTCATTAAAACTGACATTTCGTTATATACGGGTCCGTTCCATTGAGGTTTGAGTTTACAGCACAAGGAGAATAGCTGGGTTTCAGCAGTGTAGCACCCTTACCCATCCTCGTGGCGGTGATCGCGCCCCATGGGGCAGGAGCAGCGCGGCGCATCGCAGTGTTGGTAACGAAAGAGCAGCTCCTCATAGGCGTGTGGTTCCCGTTCCCAGGAGGCGTCTCTGCAAGAAGCGGCAATGGGGAGGGAGCCCCATTGGGCGGAGGGACACTACTCACTGGTCGGGCACGTAAATGCCGTGGTCCTGCATTTCCTGCTGGAAAGCTTCCTTGTTGTTGCAGTGGCCACATCGGAAGAAGTGGATGCCCGCACTCATGGCCTGGCGCTGCGCAGAACAAGGACAGTTCCATTTAGAGGCGGCATGAGAAAAAGGAGAGAACCCTTAAGCTTCGTCCCCAAGAGTTGAACGCAATAGGGATAAACTGTCCCTAGCGCGTACTTAAACACTTAGTGCACACGTTTTTTTTAGAACCTGGTATGCGCCCACTGCGTGGCCTTAAGGGAATGGGCACAGTAACATGTGAGCCTTTTGTAGTGGACGGCTGGCTCTAAACCATGAAGTCCTTATGATAACCACATGTTCCGACGCCCAATGGCAATGTGCGCTTGTACCATGCATTACTACTGCAATATTTCAAGTTGTATTGTGAAGTGCGTATACAGGACGTGTGTGTTTGTATAGCACGAAAGTTACTTTCACTCAATTTCCAAGCAGAGGAAGTTATTTTGCTGTATTCACAAGCAGACGTGTGGCTGTGTGGTAGAACACCCGTCTGCCATGCAAACGACCCGGGCTCGATCCGCACTTGTATCCAAAATTTTTGATTATTCATTTTATTTGCATCTTTCTCGGCTTTTTTCAGTCATGCACCAGATGATGATTTTTCGCTCACAACCAGCGACGCCGAAATTTCCGCAAAACGAGCTCCTTAGCGCTACCAAGTTAATATTTGAATTTATGCACCGTCCAGGCAAGGACTTCGTACTCCAGAGCAAGTGCATAAAGGAGGTGCTCCTTCTTTTTCGCTAAAAAGGTCTGCCAAGACAAAGAGCTCACAGGGAACGTGGCGGCCAACACAAACTTGTGATGCGTGGGGTTGTCGGTTGCTCACATGGTGTCGATGTGCTGAAGCGGTGCATTCTGTGTGCAGTTGCGCCCACACACGATACAAGAATGATTTTAGGTACGCTTCTGGCTGTATTAGACATTGATATTTCGCAGGAGATGAGCGTGTACCCAACCAAATCTACCTCCCAAGTTATCTCCCCTACAGAATTTCGCGTCAGTACTCCTTTAAAGAGACCCTACAACACTTTGCCAAGTAGTCATCCAGTGACTTCGTTAAAGGAGTTCACTGCTTCACGAGCCGACTACCGCGTAAAATTTTAGAACCAGTCAAGCACGAGCCTCCGGGTGTTGCAGGAATTTGTCGCACGCTTTACAGTGTTTTCTTTCTCCCTTTGTATGAGTGAGTGCACTGAAAGTTGAAAAGAAAAGGAATAAAAAGGAGGTAGAAAGCTAAGTTTGTTTCTCAGCCCGCGTCATGACCTTGAGCAATTTATTATAACATTTTTCTTCAAATACACGGCTTACTTGAAGTGATCCCGTATGTGCACAAGCACCTCACGGCACCGACTGTGGCCGTGGTAATGGGGTGGCTCCTGATGCTCAAATCAGCCAATGGCCATGGAGATTGAGTTTATAATAATAATGATTATTATTATTATTATCTAGGGTTTAACACCCTAAACCACCATATGATCATCAGAAATGCTGCAGTGGAAGGCTCCAGAAAATTAGACCACTAGGTGTTTTCTAATATGCACTGACATCACGCAGCACACGAGCGTCTACCTACCATGATATTGGCTTCATGGCGCGGTCATTTGGGTCTATAGCATCATTTTCCAACAAGAGAGCGAGCGATTTCGGGTTGACTTTGAGAATTAAATGTGAATTCCAGACCGACTCCTGTGCTATACTGTTTGGCTCAATTGTTTTTAAAAGCTTCAAATACCAATCGGCAGCATTTACTCACCATGCCGAAAAATTCTTGCAGGGTTAAGGTGGGAGGCGAGACTTGCTTTGGGTCAAGAAATTATATTTTGGGATTTTGCAATCACCGGATAGAAATTTCCTTTATCTTTGAAAAAGTGTACAACACTTGGGCACTCGTGGTTTTAAAATTAATTTTTGTTTTGTTCCCCCCCCCCCCCCCCTCAATACGGTGACAGGAAATGCACACTTGGCGCTACGTAACTTCAGCATTTATGAAGTCTGTACCTTTTTTCTCGGGAACTATCAGGCATAAACGAACGAAACCTCTCACATGTGTTGAGCAGTGCATCTACATAAAAGGAGCTAGAATCGGAAGCCTAGGTGCATCAGTGTATTTTTAGCATTAAAAAAATACACATATATCTTGAGAAGTTGCAATTTTTTATACATACACTAGAAACTGCATTTTTGCTTTATTGGAACGCTCTGGTGATAGCAGGCCCCAAACAAAAAAACACCGAGGACATTTTGAAACAAATTTCGAGACCTAATGCAACCTGTGTGTGTCTTTAAAAGAGCTTTGAAATTCTATAGCCATAGCTTTCATTGCCCCTGCTGTACAGCCAAATTTTGAAACACACTTTCACAAGTCTCACTCCAGCCCCTTACTAAATCTCTCAAAAGGCGGTCACTGCCGCTACGTGCGTGTGGCGTGCAACTGACTTGTATGCATGCTCGGTGGAAGAGCTGTCGGCAGCAGGGCGTCACCAGCACATTTACCGACGGATGAGTCATCTGCTCGGAGCAGATGGCACACAGGCTGACCCCATCCTTATCCATCGGCACCACATTCTGGCGAGGACGATGCCCTGCGCAGTACACCCTGCAATAACGATAATAGTAAGATAAGATCTGGAGTTCTTATGGGCCACAACCACGATAAGGCACAGTGCAGGGGAGGGCTCTGGAAGTTACGACCGTTTGGTGTTCTTTAGAGCGCCCCAGCATACACAATACAAGCGTCTCTGGTGTTTAAACTTCATCAAAACGCAAATCGGTACAGCTGAGATCGAACCCGTGACCTCGGCGGCTTAACAGCCTCGTTGACGTGCCTTCACCTTGCACTCTAGGTAAAAGATAAAGTAAAAATGGTGTCTCTGCCGCAACAATAATCGTCATTTGGCTTGCTTGCACTTCCTGTCTTGAAAAACCGAGCGCTGGCCACTTTCCTTTAACGAGTAATAAGTCCCGCTGATAGCACGTTTGTCGTTAGTGACCTAAAAGTGCCATGTGTACGGTGACAACGCAGGGAAACGAATGAAAGTTGGATAATTACTTTTGTGGGACAAAACTGACAGCCCTTTTTACTCTCCCCTTTTTAAACGCGCGTGTCCCGTCAGAAATTCACTCAGTTTTTTTTTCCCTCGTTATAAGAACGACAGTGACTGCGACTATCATAATCGTAGTCGACTATACGCGAGTACTATACAAGGTATTGGCTTGCCTGTCACCCCCGGTCTGACACAACTAAGTGCTCTGCCATGTCTCGCCCATGTGGTGGCAATCTCGAAGCTTACAAGTTAGGGGAACGCCATAAGAAGATCCATTTTCCTTCTAACACCGCAGTTTTCTCGAAATAAATACCCATTCTGTTCACACACTTCTCTGCATACTATGCCCTCCATCGCACAGACAATAACTATCCTGTCACAGAGCTACTTGAGGGTTCATTAGAAAGTTGAAGCATCTGTTCCTAAAGCCAGGTCCGGTTGATTACACTGGATAGTCTACAGAACATTGTTGTAGTGAGAGTTTGAAGAGCACACTACCTTTTGAACTTAATAGTATTACCGGGTGCAATTTAGTTGCATAATGCAAAATTACAAAGCTTTTCATGCCTTCTGTTAATTGCCAACATGTAACTTTGGTTAATTAGGTTGATTAAGTAATATTGATTAAGGTGCATGTCTGAAAGTGAGCTTCTCTACAAACAGTAAACACACATGCACAGTACCTATTATCGGCATGTTTATGGGGGAAAAAAAGTTGAGTTCCAAAAACAATGCTTACTCTGATGCATCATCTATGGTTTGCTCGTTTAATGTGACTAGCTTCCGCTGATACACAAGCTCACAGTTGTACAGTGCTCATCCTATCTTCTTCACCCAGGTACTGCACCAATTCTCTATGCTCATGCATTCTGGCCCAAGATGTCGCTCGAGGCATGGAGTCAAACACTGAAATTCCAGAGTAGACTTCAGTGGCCCTTTGCTGAACCGTATTGTTAGAGAAGAGAGAAGCAAAGTGTACGGAAAACTGGGTTCTTGTATTCATTCCGCCCACCCTCGTACTAACTCACATCTCTCCTTGTTTTTATTAGTAAGCACATGTCTGACAGCTCATCGCATGGTGCAAAGTACTGCAGTTGAGGATGCCGCAGGCGGCCTTCTGCACACGCAACCTTGGTTCTCCATCGGAAAACGCGACACCCAACTCAAGAGAAAGAGTGCTAGGGCTTTTACTTGGACGCTGTTCTAGCATATCTCCTGCCACGTGCTCGACACGAGATGCTTCAGTGACACCCTAGACAAAGCATTTAACACATCAGAAAATAATGAGAATGTTACAGTGCCACGTTCCTGAGTGTCCGTAATTAAGTGGCCAGGTGTGGAGTCTTATAATCATTTCGTTTACGCCAACCCACGAGCCCTGCCGAGAGAAAGCACTTCGCCGCAAAAGTCATTCGCGCGGTGTCACATGGAAATGCTTAGCGACACTCGCTACAAGACACATTCGCCGGCGAGTGCGTTCACCGAACTCGCTTCGGTGCGACAAAGTGCCAAGACTCTGTAGCAGTGACCCAAAAATATACAAGAATCTCGTGCTTAACAACTGCATCTTTAAAACTAGTCTCATTATTAGTAACACCTTTATGCATTAAAACATATTACACCACAAAAAACTGATTTGCTACTGTTGCTCTCAGGTTGTTCGGCCACTGCTATATTTGCCCCTAAAGCCTATCCAAAGCGTTGCTAGTAGTACCTGCAACACATTATCACTTTAAAGATATTGCTTGAAATGATAAATATCTTCAGTGCTACTCAACAACCCATTGCCACTACTATTATTTCTAACTTACACTTCCCTCTCTCGTGGGGTAGCACACTATTAAAGTGCCACTCTGAGGGCTTAAGTGCACTAACTCAAAACGACACTTAATAATTTGGCAGTGTGATCGGTGCATTAGAGCAAGCATAACAGAACAGCAATCGTCCCTTCGGGTGGTCACAGCTAGCTCTGAAGCGAAAATAAAAGAGGGGAAGATTAGGCAATGTGTGGCAACACAACAACAGACTTCCTGGAACAATAAACAAGAAAAGATTAACATTAGTTTAGGCCCTGTGCCGCTTACAATGCATGTTTCGCAAACAGGTAACCTAGCAGTGCAATAAGCGAAGCCTTGCGCACACGCCAATCTTTTATTGTGGGCTGGCGGACCCCACAAAACTTTTCAGACAAAGCAGAGACATTGCGGAGGATCACAGAGAATGGACGCACCTTGCCGCACGAAACAGAGTTGAAAATAGACAGGTGATGTTGCGCAGCAAATTTGTCCTGCAGCTGAATCAAAAGAAAGACGATCCTATGCATTCGTGGGTGCAATGGTTGTCTGCACACTGTACAGGGACACTAGCTCAGCAAACAAGCGTATACTTGAACTCTTGCAGAAAACAACTTGGTGGATCATTCTTCAGATTATCAAGTCGCTTGATGACCAGCACACTGCCAAATAGTGCACAGTGAGGCAGTTTCTACAATGTTTTTACTCAGACACGCACGCACACACACATAAATCTTGTGTCTAGCAACTCCCTTACTTTTTTGGTCCCAGAGGAACAATCTGTTACAACAGCTTGAGCTGGTTTGCAAACAATGCAAAACTATGCGCGGTACACAGCCGAAGAAAATTGTATTGGTTGAACGACACACGAAGAAGTCACAAGACACAGGCACTAACGAATCTTCTTCAATCATCGTTCAACCAGTGCTAGCTCCTTCAAAACGGCAACGCACTGACAAGCCCTAATTTGAACTGTGCTGAGGTATGCGGTATTCATAACCACTAGCTTTAGCTCACCTGAAGTCACCAAAGAACTGCAGCAGACAGTCCTTAGCCACACCACAGGGCATGTGGAATGCTTTCTTGCAAGCCCGCAGGCAGCAGCCGACCGTGGCATTCTTTCGTTTGCAGAAGCAACACATCTGCGCAGCAGTTGAGGCAAAAAAAGAAAAGGACAAGCCCGGAATACACACTTTACTCTCACAGACTAACCTAGTGCTATCGTTGAATGACAGGGTGTGGTGCTATAAACACTCAATTGTTTGGTAGCTTTTTTTCTGAACGTATGCTAGAGCTTTTAGAAAACAATAAGGAAAACAAACAGCTGCCATACCTTGGAACCTTGCGCCCAAGCTATGTAACGGTCAGCATGAATTGAAACGTAAGCATGAACGTAATACGAGGTCTGTTTGATTCGCATGCACCACGTGAACCAGTTCCTGAGGAGCTTCACTTTGCCATTCCTTTCAGCGATGCAGCATTGACGGCCTCTGAACTCTGCCATTCGTTTCAAAAAGGTGCAGCACTGGTTCACGATTTTCCTGCACCTCCTACGCTGACGGCGCCGCCTTGGAGCAGCCGCGCATGCAGCTGAGCAGACGACGCAGCACTTAGGCGTAGGCACCGTACCCGCCTCTACTAACGCGATCTGTTTTGCCAAGATGATTGCACCTCATAAACTGTCCACATGTGTGGTTCGCCATTATTCAGTGTTAGCTGAACAGAGCAATTTAGGCGAACAGAAATAAGGCCTGCACCTTGTCGGCACATCGTCATTAGTTTCGGGTGTCGCGCTGCGCCTGCACCGCTGAACTCACACTGCACCATCTCTGAACTTCGCGTGCACAGCTGTGAACCGGTTCCAATTGGTGCAGGTGAATCGAATGGACCTATGGTGTCCAAATAATTGCACGAGTACACACCGGGGCACTCAAGTGCTACAATGATTGAACTTAATGGTGCACTGGTGCATTCTACGGTTCCATAAGTATGTGCCTGTAAGCCAAATATGTTAGGAAAGCATTGGAGACATTCACCATTTCTTTACCTGTAGCAAAGTTCGGACAGCTTCTGCTTCTGGTCCCCTTATCACTCTGCTGCGATCTTGCAAATTCCAACCGCATATTTGGTAAACTGTGGGTGCGGCTAACACTGACAAAAAGTGATTTTTCGCCCACTTTAATTCCTTTCAATTAAGGCTAAAACCATTTATTGCAATTAAAGAAACAACAAATAATAGGCCCTATGCTTTGCTTAGCCTGTCTGTTGGTTTATTCAGCTGTGTCTCGCAATGAAACGAGACTCTATGAAAAATTCCCCTTTTTTCATCTTTTGGGTAAGGGGCACTTCACTGGTGACCTTTACGGGGGGTATCGACAAAGTGACAACATGCGCCCATCACTTGCATGACGAAACTCCAAGGTGTTACCTCCATTTTCTATAGCAGCTAGGTGACCTGCAAGAAATCTGTAATTGTTGAGCCGCTCTATGAAGTCAGCCACAGAGAGATGAAGGCATGCATTACAAGTGTCCACGCAGCGCTGATTGCTATGACCAACACGAGATCAAACTTCTTTTTGTCTCGTCATTGCCTAGCCACCGGACACGAAGAGCATGTGATGATTTAATCTCTCAATATGTTCTTTGCAGTAATGATATAGGAAGTTACTATGTACAGAGGGCTTATGTTACTGTTAACAAATGCTCTCAACAAAAGAGCACGTATCTTCACCGAAGCTCTGTTAGCGAGTATAAAAGCGTAAAGCGGCCTCAAGTGCAACTATGTGTGTGTAAAGGATACAGGTGAATTTGGAAAAGAAACTGAATTTTTCACGTCCGAAATCACACCCACATAATACATGCCACGATACCCGTAATCAAAATCTGGGTTTTCATTTGCCAAATTCATGACATTGCTGTACTACAGGGCTGTCGCTTTTGGTTTAGAAACGTTCTTTTGATCCCAGGAGGTGCCACTCCTTTGTACATACTGTAATGTACTGATTGAACTAGACCTCTTGGTCCTTCACTCTGTACCTGGCTGCGTCTTTCGTCGGCTTTGGGGCCACCGTTCAGACATGCACCCGGCGTTCCTTTGACACGTCAATTCCACATTGGCGACGAGGTAAATCCACATCAATCCAGACAAATGGTGAACCATTGTACAATGTGTTTGATTCCACTGTACCGCCCACCTTTACAATACTCTTGAATCTGCTTATTTCGGCTGTTTGACAAGCGGTGGACCAGTATATGTTGCAATTGATACCTTTTGACGCCTCTGGTACCACTAGTGCTTATACTGTACGTCTGCCATTGCTCTCAGTCTCGCTGGCAGCATGAACGCCATCATTTCACCACCTCCTTTTTGGCAATTCTGCAGCATGCCTCCAATTTCTTGAATAAAATGGTGCCACGTCTAGAAAGTGTACATTGACGTGGCGGCCTCGGATGACACGCCGAGAGGAAGAAGTTACAGCTGCTCAATACACACGGTGTGGAGGCAATGGACGCACTACTACAAGGCTGCTGACAAGCAGACTGAGCTCGACGCACACCACGGAGCCGGAGTTGACGCGATGAGTAATGCATACCAGCAGGCCATAGCCGTACTGGAGGCATACTTCGCACCACTCGACGACGCTTCCGCCCGTGCCCAGTTCTGATGCAGTGTGCCACAACCGGACGAAACTGCTGTTCAGTACATACAGGAGCTGCGACATTTGCTGCCGCCTTGCAGTTTCGGCACCACAGTCACTACGATGCTGCAAGACCAAATGCTACAAGGACTGCAAGACACGTTTACCATACAGAAAGCCGTGGGAGCACACCTAGGCAAGAGTAACGCTTCGAGCACACCTTGCAGCAGCCGACTATTTCAGTTAACACCGTTACGCGATGCAAGCATAGGTACTTGGGCGTTCCCCCTTGTCAACCATCTCCCGTACAAGACTCACCCCACAAAAGCGCGCTACATTCCCTACTTCACCGTCGTCCCAGCCGAGTGTCAGCTTCCACTGCAGTGCGCCTTGTCACTGGGAGAATTTTCCGGACTGTCCTGCGCGTCACTACACTTGAAACAGCTGCGGCCAGCAGCGAGATGTGCCACTCGTCAGGAATCTCGGCGACTGTTCTTGACGGTGATGCAAGCCGATAGTGTACTGCCATGAATACAGTTGCAGTTTTACATGTGGCAACGAGGACATGCTTATGTATGGGAACCATGCCACACATTCCGTGCCTTAATGCAACTTCCCGTACTCCGATAATGCCCGCTACGACTGGGTTTGTAGCTATTGTCCAATGCTTCACCAGTTCGAGTCCCAACTGCCTGTGCTCCAGCTTCACCTCGTGCGGCCTTGTTCCATGCTGCTGTGCATGCTACCGCTGTGGGTACTTTTGCGGAGGCTGCTGAAGCTCTCCGTGCTTCGAACGTACATCCACCTGTCGTGCCAGCCTCGATAAGGCCCGTACCGGTGTTGTGCAGTCGGACAGAGTCCGGAGCAACTGGCCGTGCCCCATCTGTACCATCATGTACGCGTTTCAACAAGTCACTCCAGAGGCCTCCTTCACAAGAGGGGGAGCTGTTGTGCTGCTTCTGCTTCACTGGACAGTAGCAAGCTGTCACAGTTACGGACAGATTTCGTAGAAATGGCACCATTGCAAGCGTCTGTGACTGCAAACATGATCTCGCAAGGGAAAGGATGATGTCGTATAGTGGTTTCAGTTTTGGTTTAGAAAAATGTTCTCTTGCCCCCAGGGGATGCCATTCCATTGTAATGTATTGCAATGTACTGACTAATGCAATGTACTAGGGCTCTTGTTTCTTCACTCAGTACCTGGCTACGTCTTTCGTCTGCAGTTCCGGCGTGCACCCGGCGTTCCTTCGACGAGGCGTCGAAGGCGTTCACGTCGATACTACGATTGTATAAGTCAACGGCTCAGTAGGGGGCTTTTGATTAGCCTAGACCAACTGGGGTTCTTTACTAGCACCTAAACCTAAATTCACACCGTCGTTTTCGCATTTTGCCAACATGGAAAAGCGGCCGCCACTGCCATACAAACCCAAGTCCCCGAACTTAGTCTTAGCGGCGCAACGGGTCAGTTTAAATGTTTCGCCGTCACACCACGCACTCGGTACATGCGCGCATCTGCAGGCTTCCTCTCCACAGCTTTCTCCCGCGCGCATTTCGTCCGCGGACCTGCGTGACTTTACTGCCTCCGCGGTTATAAATCGTCGTCCGCTCCGTCAAAAACTGAGAAAGTGGTAACACTGACCAGTCGGTTGCCCCGGCGTAGCTCCGCGCGCACGTCAGCCTCCACGAAACCACGCAGCGGTTCTTCCTCCTCGCCTCTCTGGTGCAGGCCGCTGGAAAAAAGCTGCGCAAAGACGGGAGGCGCGTCGTACAACGCTGCTTCTCGGAAACAATGCACCCGTAAGGCTCACCATGCAGAAGTAATGTACGTGCAGGCCGCTACCGGTGCTCAGCAGCTCCCCGTTGAGGTCGTCGCTCTGCGGCAGGCCGCAGAATGAGCACGTGGGACCGGGCTCGGGACCTGCGCGGTGCACGCACCGTGCTCGCCAGACAGTTCGACGACGGCAAAACGACTCACCTTTAGCCGCCACCGCCTTGACGCGGCTCTGTTTCACCGGCTTTTTTGCGGCGCGGGGCCATTTCAAACCGCTTGCTTCCACCCCAAAAAGCATTCACGACGACATCCGAGAAGAGCCCGACCAATCAGAGGACGTGGAGTGTGTGGAGTCGCCAGAAAACAGCAGTAAAACGCAGCCCGTTTCCGCGGCTGTCGGGGTGTCCTGTATTATTTGTAAATATAAACAAAAATATGGGGGAAATATGCGCTCGTTATGTCTCGGAGCAGTCGCATTTTCAAAGTGTAGTGCAGCACTACCCACCTGTGACATGGCGGCAAATTCAAATAGCAGTGCCCTTCGGCCCCCCGAGCTTTTGTCGAACGCTTTCTGGATTTAGCTCATCGCCACTGCTTTCCGTTTCTTACGCTTGAGTCGTACTAGAATCACCTTCGTGATGTTTTGAATAGCCGTTTTCGCGGCAGCGTCAAGTTGATTCTCTTCGCCATGCATGCACGGTCGTTGAACACGGCAGTGACGTCACGTTATTCTTGGCGCTAAAAGCGTGGCCCTCGTGACTAATTCATAAACCGACATTGAATGCATTTATAAAAAAAGAAGCACAAATAATTACTTTGTGTGTTTTAATAAATACTTTATTTGGCTTCATTTTTGCCTACGTGCAACTAAGGGAACTTGTATGCTTCTAATGCCAACCTTTGAGATTTTTTTTTTTGCCATTGCTGTTTGTAAAGAAGTTCAGGCATTAAAAGTGTAAAGTTTAAAATAACTAAGGTTTAATTAATGTTTAATCAAATAGACAAGAATGCATTACAAGCACACGTTTCATACGTTTATCTGTACCATGACTTGCACTGACTTTTTGTATGGCTACAATCAAACCGCGAGCTAAAACTGGATTTTAGGCTATCCGCCATCCAAGACAAGCTGAGCCGTTATCGTCGAAACTCTTGAGAAGTTGAATAAACGACGTTCGGCGACGCCGCCAAAATCGTGCAGGATATGTAACGCAGTGTAATACTTCTGCGACGTTAATGCTGCCGTGATCGTACGGCTAGCGGTCTGCAACACATGAGCGGGCACGCTCGATGACGTGGCAACGCTCTGAGTAATCCGTCTACTCGGTCCTAGCAGACGACGGGACGCCCATCTCCTGTGCATCAAGCTGTCATCTGTCGTGATCAAGCGATACCGGTGGTACGTGTAAGCGTTTTTGCAGTTGTGCAGTTCTTAGATGAGTAGCCGTCAATGCACTGCAACTCAATAATTTGCCATGCGCTCACTCACAGACGGCGCAGCTAGCGCATGTTGACATCCGTTACAGCGATGTGAAGGTGACTATCTTGGAGAATGTGCCCACTTCGCCGCTCACTACTTAGCTCCTGATTGTAACGGCAAGAGGGCGTATAATCTGAGAATTCGCTAACATATGCTGGCATGAAAACAGTGAAGATGAACTATATTGTTTGTTTGTAATTAAATGTTGAAGTCAGATGGTGTGCAATCACTAGTGTCAACATTTACATCGTGTGCTGGTGTTTGTAATTAAATCAAATTAGATGGCAGGACGGCGGGTAAAAGCAGGGGCACATATGTAGCCTGGTGAATCTGCAAGCCCTCTTTGAATACATTTAGGCTGGGCAGTTTTGATTTGTGGGGTTTAACGTCCCAAAACCACCATATGATTATGAGAGACGCCGTAGTGGAGGGCTCCGGAAATTTCGACCACCTGGGGTTCTTTAACGTGCGCCCAAATCTGAGCACATGGGCCCTATACAACATTTCCGCCTCCATCGTAAATGCAGCCGCCGCAGCCGGGAATCGAACCCGCGACCTGCGGGTCAGCAGCCGAGTACCTTAGCCACTAGACCACCGCGGCGGGGCTAGGCTGGGCAGTAAATGCGCACAGTACAAACAATCATTACAAATCTATGACACGTCGGATGTAGCATACGGCAGACGCAAATAAATCGAGGCTGTTAGCATGTAGATTGTTAAGAGGCAAAGACAGTCTAACAATAATATCGCTAGATTGAAATTCAGACGAGAGGCGTGCATGCACTCAGGACAGTATCGCTGTTTCTTTGTTACGTAACGAAATGTATGCTACTACCTGTATATTCATATCTTTCATATTTGACGTGTATCTTTGTATATACAGTTGAAATTTTACAATGATATATATACTGCAAAATGGCATGTTTCTGATGCACACTGTGAAACAAGAAAAAAAAGGGAGCGGGGGGGGGGGGGGGTTCAGAGACCTATTAGAAGCCTCCCCCCATCCCCACAACCGTGTTTTCAAACCATTAATTGCTACGTGCAAGTGTACTGCTCTCTGGTGATCACATAATGCTCTTGCAATTCCCCCATATTTTCGGTGGTCTGTACTATGCCCTAGAAACAACATATCAAGCAGGTGCGGATATACGCCAGCCCAAGCACAAGTGTTTCTGTCTATAAATTTATGGCCGCGGTCATATGAGCACTGTATGGTTTTTGTATGTGTGTCAAACAATGGACAGGGAATGCAAAATTGATAAAAACGAAATACTTGTTGACATGTTGCTTCAGCACCCTGGCGAGGCTCTGCGACGAACTTGCTAACTTTGTTAGGAGCACATATACAGTCAAAACTCTATTTACCAAAATTAAAGGAAACCGCAAATCATTTCGTTAAATCGGGAAGCAAGATAGCCTATGGGTTCAGCGAACTGGGAGCGCCGCAGGAACACAGACACGAAGCAAAGAGGAGGCACACAGCACGAGCGCTCAACTAACAACTGGTGGTTTATTCTCATGTTAGAAGGACAAACAAGTACACCAGGGTGCGCATGTCAACAGGAATAAGACGATAGTGTGAGCAGCAAGCGTGACGTTCATTCGAAGCACTTGTCTACGAGTTATCCATATAGTTAAACTCACAGTCAAGTAGTGATAATGACGGATGGCTGATACATCGATCCTTATTTCTAGAAACGTGACATGCTTCAGAAATTTCACGCGTAGTTTTTTGAATTGCCAACTAGCCCACCTTTCCATCCTATAGCCTATGGGTAACTGTGGGGTAAATCTTAATTTGTTCAATCAGGGTATTTGTAATATCTGCAGCAGCGTCGTGGGGTAAAATACAGCGCATCAAGATGTCTGGTTTTGTTAAATCAAGTTTTAACTGTATATGTAGAAGAAATCTTTCACGGACATCACTTTCAGTACATTTACAAATGGATGAACAGTCTGCGAAGCGTGAATTCACTCCTTATCCCTGATATCAAGCGGTTCAAAAGTGAGCATGGATTGTCATACGCAGACCTATTGAAGGCGTACTTGCGGGTCTTGCGTGCATTTTTTTTTTGTTATGTGCTGGACCTCATTTTTTTTTTTGTGTCTTTACTGCCATGTGCAGATGGAATTCTATGCTGTCTTCAAAGGCTGGGGCACAACCGTGTTTTGCAAACAATTGATTGCTATATGCAAGTGCACTACTCTCTGGTGATCACATATGCTCTGGCAGTTTCGCTATTTTTTCAACCAGAAAACCCATTTATTCATTACAAATATGGTTACAAAGAAATAGAAGCAGGCGAAACAACCATCATTTGACTAAGCATAAGGGTGGGGACGCACGTTTAATTGAGCAGCCCTTTTTATTAACACCTAAAGCTGCCTGTGCCAATTTTCTTTAAGTTTCTTAAATGGATTTCGTTAACTTTATTAGTGTCAAAAAAGAGAACCTTTAAATTGACTCTCCATGTGATATTCCCAAGCCTGTGCAACAGTTCGCATCGAGTTGTCTTTCATGAGGCCAGATGATATGGCACGGTTATTTTGCTGCGCTATGCGGTTACATCGGACGAAAAAGAAACACTTGACACTCATGTGGACATATTCTAGAAGCTTACCGCACATGTTTGTCTAGTCTTCCTATTTTATCCTGGTGCAACACTGCACAGTGCAGCAAAAAAACGGTGCATATGAATTTAGTGCAAAGTTTTCCTATTCTCTTGTTATCACTCTAGGCTTTCTGTTGTGACATGACACGGAGTAAATGTCCAGAAGACGAGGACAGAAGGTTGTGTACGTAACCCTTTTCTCTGTCCTCACCTTCTGTGCACTTACCTGCGTTGTTCTCTGGGCTCAGCTTTCAACCATTAAAGACTTGTCCACGTGTCAATTATTTAGCCATATATTGTCTCGCGTGCGCAGGGACCGTGATGGAGCTGGACTTGCTGGTGGCAGTGCTTGGGTTTGTGGTACTCATGTTCCTGTTCGCCAGGTGTGTTGGACTAGCGGTCGCAACATTGAGCTTAAGCAACGCATGCTCTGTGTGCAGGTACGGCAGAAGCATCCTGAATGGCACTGGCTCGTCGGTGACCTACGTTGCCCAACGCAAGGATTTTTGTCCCATGGTAGAAGTGGGAAACCCATTTGTCCTGGCCTGCAGGAGTAGCGCCGATCCAGGTAACCTCTGTTGAAGGCAGTGTTGCATGCTTGTGGCGCAACTTGTGAACTTACTGCGCAACTTACACATTATAATTACACATGCTGCCCTATACGCATTGTATAACCTGTGTATATTATATACCCGCATACCCATTACATACCCATGTTGCCATTTCTTCACGACTAACTTCATGTACCACCCTGCTAAAGTCACCCAATGGTGATTGCACTATCTGTAAATAAATGAAATAAAAAATGAACTTGCGGTGCGACGCTAGTTGTAAGTGAATCATACCGTGTCCCAAATTTCACTTGTTCTAAGTAGGCACCCTTGCACGTCTGCCACACAGGGGGCGTAACACTCCAGCTTTGGAGCGACTGTCCATGCCAGGTGTGGCTCTACTGGGGTTTGAGCTATGCAGCTCTGGCAACTTGGCCACGACTGGGCTGGCCGAGGCTGCGTGAGGCGGCGCAAGCAGGCAGTCTCTGGGCGCCACCTCAAGACTGCATACTCCAGGAACCCCCTATCACGTAGGTTTCCATGTATCCACACTGTAATCGGCCTATCGATTGGCTGTCTCATCATGGTGGGCCTACAATTGCTCAATGATCCTGTCTAAAGTTTTAAAACATTATACAAAGCAAGGGCTACACCTGTATTCAGTTATTCACTTTCATAAAATAATGTAAAGATCAAACTAAGAATTAATAATGCCATCTAATATTTGGCCCTGCGAGCAGTGCATGCTCGATGTCCACATATGGCTGTGCAACACAAACCACAAAGGGGCCCTTCAACATTTTTTTAGCGTGGTTGGAAAACACTGCTGATCATCCGTCGAGGCTTCTGAGAACATGGGAGCCAAACATTATAGCGGAGCATTTGGCGTGGAATTCACCACTAATTTTCAAGGTCAGCTATAAATTGCTCGTTCTTTTCTTGACAAGTGATGCCGTAAAGCCAAATGATTGAGCTTTAAACCTGAAGTTAACGTCCATTGGCTGATGTTAGCAACACGAGCTGTGTAGATACCGTAACCTCCTTAGGATGTCATGAAATGCCCACATAGGCATGCACAATCGCACTGAACGTAGGCCCCACGGTCGAAGAAAAAGAAGGACTGAAAAGGTTTAATTTCATGCGCATGCCAACAAGGGAATGTAGCTTCTTGCCGCCCTTGTCATACTCCTCCCCCCTACTGCGTAGCTTTCAGTGCTTTTGATGGTATGAAAGGAGATAGGAAGCACCTAAAGCATGCAACAATTAATGTAACTACACCCGTACTTGATGGCTTCTAAACATTTTTGTGGCAGGCAATATGTAAGGCAATAAACTCCTTCCATAAATCTATTCTGGGATTACCTGAAAAAGTGTTGCAGGCTCCCTTTAAAGAAAATGTAGTGCTCTACAATTACTTCTGTTACTGAAGGCTTCAACCTATGTCAAGAAATTTTAATATTTAGGGCCCAACATTACTTTCTGCGTACTTTACAGCATGCCAGTAGTGGCAGTGAGGTCAGTATTTTATAGCGATGCATTATGCTAAATTCTATTCTAGTGTGATTGTCCTCTACACTTGACCAGCCGATCTTATAGATCACCTGTACAGGAGGATCATCAATCTGGCAAACAGTAAAATTGTGAAATGGTGTTAGCATCGAAAATGGCGTTTCTACAAAATACTGGCTTAAGTATGATGTGTTGCTGTGCTTTCTGACAACCATTGGTTCTGGGGAATCTGTTGTGCACTGAATCACTCATTGATTGCTGTTCAATGGAGCACTTAAAACAAAGTAGATCACTTCAGTTATGGTGGCTACCTAACCAGACACGTTGTCACTAAAGCTGGATGTTGCTGAGAAGTGTGGCAGCTTGGGCTAGTTGGTATGACATGACGATAGAGCGCGAGAAGAGAACGGCTACTCAGAGACAAGAAGGACACGAAGAACACGAGCGCTAACTTCCAACTGGAAGTTGGCGCTCGTGTCCTTTTTGTCTCTGTGTCGCCGTTCTGTTCTCGCTCCATGACTATCGTCCCGTTGCTGAGAAATTGTTCACTAGTGCTTTCAGTAAAAAACAGATGCGGTAAAATTAAGCCGTATCCACAGTTAAAGGAGGATTTTTTATGTTTTGCCAGCTGAAGCTGTCTTGTAGAATTTTAGGAATGTCTTGGTTGCTAATGTCTTGCCTATAACTATTTGTGAGTAGAATCGTACAAGAAATTTGATCAATAGGAGCATGTCTAAGGACACAGGTGCTTGCAGTGAGACAGCGTAGTGCAGATCTCTTGTTTGTGTGTTTATGTGCTTTATGTGACTCATGCCTTGTCTGTTTTTGCTGGGGTGGACATCTGCAGCCTTGACAGCTACCAGCGACATGTGTGGCATGGTGAGAGCCCCGCCCTTCCAGAGCGCGAGCCACGAGTGTCACTTGGTGCACTTTTTGTACGGCTTTCTGAGGCGGAGCCCATGGAAGTTGTAAGTGCCGTTTTTTTTTGCAAATACAGTGTGTCACACCTTCTGCTAGCTATAAATGCATGCCCCACTGTAGGGGGGCATGCACACAAACACTTTTTCACTTAACTGACAGTAATGGCTTCATAAGCTGAACACAAGAGAGCCAATATCTGCCCAGGCATTTACGAATTCTCACTTGCGTGGGAAGAATGCACAGAACTTGATAAAATGCTTTTAAAAATTCATATATTAAAATGTTGCATTATATTCCACTTCAAGTTTGTTTTTCATTTGACTCTGAATAATGGTACAACCAGAACAACTGGTCACATTTGCAACTGGAAACCAATCGGAACCACTTGCTTCCAGTGATAGCCGGTTGTTTCCAGTTCATATTGTCATGGTTCCGGTTGGTGCCCACTTGCCTTGTAACTGGAACCACCTGCTGGTCAGCTTCAGCAGAAACCATTTTGCTTGTACCTGGTATCAGCTAGTCTGCAATGGGATGAGTTGATTTTCAACTGCTACGAGGTTGATACCAGTTAGAGCGAGCCGAAACCAGTTCGATTCTCTAGTAACACATTCCTAACTTGGGTAGGGTGTACTAGAAGTGTTGAGTGGCGTGACCGCGCCTCGTCACCTAATCCCTTTCGCGTTGCTCGCAGCGGCGGCGCTGCAGTCGAATAGTACTGAAAGAGCCGCGTGCAGGAACTGCTATGCGCTTCGGCTCCTCTGTCGCGCTTTCTTGATGCAGACTTCTTCGTACCTGCCCATCATTCGTGTCTAGCACATGACGTCATAGCCCTTGAAGTATGACACGCCAATCTACTGAATTTGAGCTCCATAAAAGCCCTTATGAGAGATCGAAAATAAGTTAGACAGGGTGCGTCTTATACTCATTTCTTCTCTCTTAACTCTTTTTTCGTTGGATAGGCGCCTACAATATTTAAAATAACTGGGCCGATTTATTGGAAGTTAGCTGTGCTCAGAAAGCTGTAAGAATGAAAAACAAATACTGTGTCACATGCACGTAGAACCAGAAATTCATGAGTAAAGAGGGGAGACGTAATTTGTCAATATGGTTGATTCGGCGAGTTGGTGATACATGACTGTTTTGAAATGAGAGCGCACTACTTAGACGCGGACAGAAAGACAGGGAACAAGCACTTGTCCTCTGTCTTTCTGTCCTCGTCTAATTAGTGCGCTCTAATTTCAAAACAGTAAAGAATGGAGAGGAAGGGACTCTCAACCCCCTACACCACGAAATGTTTTCGTAATTTAACTTTTCAAGGTGTACTAAAATATTTACATGCATTCACAGCGACAACCAATTGCCAAAGTTAGGTGTTTTGCTGCACACCCCACCCCCTCAAAAAAAAGAAAGAGAAATCCTGAGTAGCTCTGCGCCAATAGTTTACAGTTGGCGAAGCTGAATATAGGGTGTCTATACAAATGCGCACTGTGAATCTGTAGATTTCACCTTTTCGACAGTATGAGGCCTGAAAACTAGTTCAAGTCTAACGTAGTCGGACGAGAAATACACCGCCTAAAAATAGTAGCTGTGCAAAGGCGACATTGCAGATATATATATATATATATATATATATATAAGGGAAAGAAGTGTATATCTAAGGCCTTGTTTTTCCGTGTTTTGATACAATATTAATGAGATCTAACAGACAATAATGCCAAGGAATGGATAGGGGAAGTTATTAGAACCAATGTGATGTAACTAAGAAAGAAAAGTGGAAAATTTACATTACATTGGTTCTAATAACTTCCCCTATACATTCCTTGGCATTATTGTCTGTTAGATCTCATATATATATATATATATATATATATATATATATAAAATAAGGGAAAGAAGTGTATACCTAAGGGCTCGTTTTTCCCTGTTTTAACACAATATTAATGAGATCTAACAGACAGTAATGCCAAGGAATGTACAGGTTCGATTCCTGCTCACGGCTGGTTATTTTTTCATCCACTTTTCTTTCTTCTTATTTACATTCCATTGGTTCTAATAACTTCCACTGTACTTTCCTTGGCATTACTGTCTGTTATATCTCATTTATATATATATGTATGTATATATGTATGTATATATATATATGTGTGTGTGTGTGTGTGTGTGTGTGTGTGTGTGTGTGTGTGTGTGTGTGTGTGTACGTGTGTGTGTGTTTACTGTCTACATATAAAAGGAAGGTAAATTTCTCAAAACAAGATGCACCACTGCCTGCCTACACTTTTAACACAATAATAGAAGTACGCTTATAATACAAAACATCATCATAAATTTGCTCGCTTGCAATGGCGTTACACCAATAGAATATTTGGAAAGCAGCACAATATTAGCTGTCGATAGAAAATGAGAACTGTTTACAATAAATTTATGCAGATTAACAGATGGGCTATATATACAATTGGCACTTTTTAATATGTTTTTGTGTTGTTTTAATATGTTGAATATGTAATAAGCTTTTCAGAAAGCAATAAATATTATCTTCCACAAAACTGGAATGATAAAACAGAGTCATCACCGATTAATGTTGCGACAACGTTACTTATACTCGGGTTTTTCGTGAAACAATCAAGCGCATGTAGGCTCATATGAGAAACACTGCGCTGGATATCGTAGAGACTGCCGACAAAACGAACGTATGATTTATTCACGGTTTTGATATGTCTCCTTTCTGTGTAGTTCCCCAGTACCCACTTATGATGTAACGCAGCTCAAAGCGCTGATTGAGCAAGAAGCTAGACGGATCCGTGCAAATTCCGATTGACATATTTTTTTTTTGTTGGCCGGCAGGCTCTTGAAACAGTGAATTTGTTGACGCGATTTCGGCGTGCCTGCATATTCACTCATGCACCATGCGTGTAGCAGGTGCGTTCACTGATAAAGGCTCAGAAACGCATTAAACACGCTAAAAACAATCAATTACATGTTATCAGGCTCGGGCACGCGTGCTTCCAATGTAGACACTTCTGAGATCTTCAGTACCATGGGACAACAGCGCCGCCGCTACTGTCACCCGCCGGAGAATCAGCCAAGATGCAGTGCGGCCGCCTCGTTCACTTCACTGCCCTCTTCTAGTACACTGTAACTTGGGTGTTCAGATCCACATCAGCCCGATGTGCTGACCTTTCCAGGCAAATAACAAACCTGCGCCTCTGTAAGCTAATGCTGAAGGGGAGCTCGCACCCCCTTTAATGTTTATGCCTCTTGTCACCCGTGCGCCGTAGTTAGCCTAGTCACCGCCGAGTGAGAGTTGGTGCTGCACCCGCGTTGGGGCTGCCTGGCAAGAGAATTTAAGCAAGGTCAGGAGAACTGTGCTGTTCCGCTTTGGAGCTTGGAATTGCTGGCTGGCTACAGTTTCTCTTGGGAACTCCGTGGGGATGGTTCCGCAACTTGGTCCCGCTGGCTGCCGTGGCGAGTCGAACGGCGACTTCGCCGCATATGCGGTACATTGTAAGTTATGTTCTTTCTTGAGTTCTATCAGCATACTAATACGTTATTCCTCATTTTATTGTAGTTATCTGTAAGATTATAGGCTGACGGGCTTGCCGCTGTTTCAATTATGCTAACAAATTTCCATGTGTTCTTTACGCTACGGTGTGAACTGCGTCCGATGTTCCTAGAGTGGCCTTGGCTCGAGACCCTACGTGCTAAGCATATTTTTGCCAACACAGTATATATTCTACACAGGTGGCCCTGGTCGGGGCCGTGGAGCTTGTGTCTGGCGGGCCTCGGCTGCTGGCCCAGCACGTGAAGCTGTCAGGTGGCCAGAGCTGGCCCCTACGCACGCTGTTCACGCCCTCGGGGGCCTCCTGCATGGTGTGCCAGGTGGAACCGGCTAACCTGGCGTTGCTGCCGTGTCGACACGCCGGACTGTGCGTCGCCTGCTTCTCACGCGTGCAGACCTGTCCAGTTTGCAGGGCTCGCATCCTTTCCTGCTTTCACGTCAATCCTCAAGCACTAGACTCTACAGAGTCGCCACTCCACGAAGAACAGTTGTAGTTTTGTATAATTCGTGCGACGATTACGCGGACATGGCACGGGTTACGTTTCAAGTGCGGTGCAGTGTACGTACTCACGCACTTTTATGAGCATGGTGAAACAAGCGGATCCGTACTCTGAGCTCCGTACTATGATCTCCATACCACGATTTCCGTACTATGAACTCTGTACTTTTACGGACTTGGAGAAGCGCCAGCTGGTCTCTGGATGCCTATGTAAAAATCACAGTGTGCGCCCACAGGCTGGCTTCCTCATTCTTTTAAAACCCTTGTGCCACAGTGCTCCTGCGTTTGGTGGGCATGTTGTTTGAACTTCGCAAAAAAAAATGGTGCAAGTTAATAGCGATAGAAGGGTCACATTCTCTATGTGAAAATTGTTCTTTTTGAAGCTGCTGAAAGGGGCCCCGCAACACTTGCCTAAGTAATCATCAAGTGGCCTCAAGTTGACTGCCGCAAACTTCTTTTAGAATCCGTCAAGCGTGAGCGTACTTACAGGGAGCTATTTCACCTCCCGTGTGAACAAGAGCATTGAAGGCTACTCAGGGAGTTAGATGAAAATAGGTCAAGAAGATGCGTCCTTTCGTCAGTGCGCGTCAATGCTTTCAGCGCTTTCTTTTTATTTATATTTTTCTTCGGACGCGCGGCTTACGGACAGAGTGATCGTGCAAGCATGTGGCGGCAGCTCGCCATGCTGAAACTAGAGTTATTCTGGCCGAAACTACCCAAGGGCCGCGGACTTGGGTACATGGCGCAGTGATTTAGATACATGGCGTCATTTGTAGTGAGGAAAGGGAACAATTCCCTGCTCACTTTGATAATTACTTGTGAATTGCACGCCGCTTGCTGCGTTATAGTGTTTGGCTCGCGCGTTCTCCGCAGCCTCGACTGTTGATCGGCAGCGTTTTTCGAACATGCTGGAGAAGTGTTATTCCTTTAAACGAGGTACAGAAGTGTAAACTTAAAAGGGCCCCGCAACACTTTTTGAGCATGGTCAGAAAACGCTGCTGATCGGTAGTAGAAGTTCTCAACAACACGTGAGCCAAATATTATAGCGCAGCACGCGGCCTGGAATTCACAATAAATTATAAAAGTCCGCTAAAAATAGCTTTCTTTCTCCCGAAAAATCACAGAATAAGCCCAAACATCACTCGTGTAAGCCCATCAACCAGCCATTGGCCGATTTGAACATGGCGCACTCGGTGGCTACCGAGGTTGCCGCGAGAGGCCGTCACTTGTCCACGCGTGCGCACGCGATCGCACTGATAAAGCCGCGTATTCGAAGAAGAAAAAAGACAGTGCTCAAGGTCACAAGGCTCGAGAAAAAAAAAGAGAGAAAGCGCTCAAGGTCGCGAGGCGCGAGTGTCGAATGCGTGTTTTTTGTTTGCCCCTCCCATCCCTCCCCGCTTAGCTTCCAGCGCTTTCGTCGGGACGAGAGAATGCGATTGCAGCGTGTGACAAATCTTTGCAACTCCGCTCGTGCTGGACTGATTCTTAAATTTTTTGTGCCGTTGAATTTGTGAGGTAATACGCTCTTCAAGTGAATTAATTCCGTGGTTGCCCAAAAAAGTGTTTCAGGACCCCTTTAAGGGCTTGGCGCCGGCAAAATTAGTGTTCCACACTCGCCGGCTGTTACACATATATATGCACATGTATATGCTATGAAGTGGACGGAGCGATGACCGCCGCCGTACCTCAGTGGCAGAGCATCGAACGCGTTATTTGAAGGTCGCAGGTTGGGATCATGCTGAAAGTAAGTTATGGTTTTTTCCCACGTTTTTTTTACATTAACATTACAATTACATCTAACATCTGTACTTCTCTTGGCATCGTTGCCTGTTAGTTTTCAATAATGAAGTATCCCTTTAAGCATTATACGGCGCTAGCTGCGCTGATCATGTGTATGTCATAGGGAATTCCCGACAAGGTGTCTTATTCTCCCTCAGTTTTAAGTACAACCTCATCTTCAGGAGGTGGTAGTTTCGAGCAAACGCCAGAGGTACGTGGCGGAGCAAGCGCCCCCTACTCCTTCCCAAATTGTCGCCTACACCCGTCGCCACCCGAGCGCAAACGTAGTCAAAAGACCTTGAACAAGATCCTCGCCTTCTGGCACACTGCCCTCCCGTAGTCAAAAATCGATGCTGCCTTCGGCTAACGCGTTTGTGCGTTTCAGTAGAAATGTGTAGACTGACGCAGGAGCAATGAAACGAGTAACGCCTATGCAACGCTGCGCGATCACAAAATATTTTGTAGTGATTTGGAATAATTAAAATCTTCCGCGCACGCTTTCAGGGCCTAGTGTATGAGCGCTCAGCCCAGTTCTACCACCTTCGGATCCAGTGAAATCTTTATGGATTGTATGGACAGGGCGCCCCAGCTAACTCTTACTATAATTTTAAAAAATGCTCACATGGTTTCTAATGCATTCGCCTATAGGACGACTAAAAGGCAATGTTCTTTTTTTTTTCTGAGCCGATGTAATGTACTTACAGCGCGCCTTCGCGAAATCTCTCTGCATCTAACATGGTTTTACAATGCCTCCAAAATCGGATGCATTGTAAGCTGTCTGCATCCCCTCCCCCTTGTTTTGCACGGGCTCCGGGATCGTTCCCTCCTTTGATCGAGCAATAGTGTTAAGTGACGGCGTCACGTTACGTGACGTCACCCCGCGATGATTCTTCGCACCATTCGTGTTGACGCAGCCGACGGGTTTCGCCGGTCAGTTGGACGAGCCGCATGAGGCTTTTCGCCTTGAAATACGGCGACGCGACCGAATGCGTGCTTCCGATCGTAAGTCGCACTATTTTACCGGCAAAGTCATCTAAGCGCGAAGCAAGACCGTCGGCTGCGTACAAAAACTTGCCATTAATGAAGAACCCCCACGCGCCGTCTTCGGCTTCTTCTTCGCTCCCAGAAACATGGACGTGCGACGATTTGCCCGGCGTGGGACGCAATAACTCTGGCGAGACAAGGAGTGCAGAAGGGAGAAAAAGAAACCGAGAGAAAGAAACGGAAGAAAAATTCAGGAGAGTAAGCCGACAGAAAGAGGTGGAAACAGACACCAAAAGGGATTGATAGAAACAAGGATTGCGGAAGAGATAGAAATCAGGGAATACTAATAAATTGATAAATAGCGAGAAAAATAAAATAATAGAGAGATAAAGAAGAAATACAATGATAAAGAGGACAAAACAGAAGGATATGGTGAAAATAGAAACAACGAACGCTGCCTAGCAACGCTCTTTCTACAGGCTTGGTAGCGCTAATGCGAAGCTCCTTAATTAGTTCTTAGTTATTCTGCTAAGGCGGGAATGTCACGTAGAATCTCAACGCTTTTTGCGGTTACTTATAACAAAAAAAGCTAGAAAGATACTAAAATGCCTAGAAACTGTCCTGTCGGACGACTTGCAAACCGATCTGCAACATTCTCACTATAATGTTTTGCCTAACTTCGTTGCTTCAAAGGTTGGTTAATTAAGTTAGGCTAATTAAGCACACAGAAGAGATACAGTGCTTCTTACTCCGTGTAATAACTAGCAACGCGCATTCGGTGCCGTCGCGATAGATTGCGTCGGAATATTAAGGCTGCAGCCCTATAGATGCCACATTGAGCGCGAAAAATGACCCTGGGCGGCGTCAACAGAGGTGATGCGAAAAATCGACACGTATCTCTCTGAAGGCAGATTTCGCCACGATCGGCGACGACGTCATATCGTCACAAAAAGTGACCTCATAACATGACGTAATATTATGTGCACTTTTACATCCCATAACCACGATATGATTATAATGAACGCCGTTAGTGCGAGGCTGCAGAAACTACGAGCATCTGGTGTACTTTAATGCGCACCTAAATGTTTAGCACACGCGGGCCTCCGCCACTTCACCTCAACCAAAATGCTGCACGCCGTAGCCGGGATTCGATACCGCGACCTTTACGTGCGCAGTCGAGCGTCGCGAAATGGAGGCAGCGCAAAAACAGGAGCAGTGCAAAACGCTTACACGTTGGGTGAATAAACCTTTCGTTGGAGGGCGAGGGGCTATGAGTACATCAAACTGAGAAGAGAAAGAAAAAAAAAAGCTGGCTTAGGCTGTCGAGTTTTAGTGGAATGCATTAGGGACCTCACGAGTCTTTGAAAATTCTGGCTAGTGTTAGCTAAGCATTTTATATACACATCCATTTGCATGAACGTTTGCAGGGTTCCCCTTCAGGGGGGGGGAGGGGCGAAGGTTCGTGGCAGCCCCCCCCCCCATCCCTGTTAATATCCCTGACATGGCAATGTTTGGAGCTGCCTTTGCGCCCCCTCTCTCACCCCGTGCGTGCGCCTATGTACTATCTGCGTCAAATGAAACCCGAACAGTGCCAAGTCTGGTGGTATAGTGCGCGCCGTCCATTTATCACCATGGACCTGCACGCATATATGCGCAGAGCTGCCGAGCAGGATGCGCGCGCCTGTCGATGGTGATAAGTGGACAGTACGCACTGGACCAGCGCGAAGGCTTTCAGTTGTTCGGGTTTCATTAGACGCTCGTATTATATCGTAGGTCGGACGCGACACACGGGAAGCAGGAGCCGAGACCCAGACTGATACTCGCGAAACTCCTTTAAGGGCCGTTCCACGCGCTTCCCGCACAGCCGCAACGCACGTGCCGGGACCTCTAACGCACACAAGCGGGGGACAAATAAGCCAATTGGCGACGCCGTGGAGGGTGAAAGAGCGTCGCCAATTGGCTCATTTGTCCCCCCGCTTGCGTGCAGTAGGGGTCGCGGCACGTGCGTTGCGGCTGTGCGGGAAGCGCGTGGAACGCCCCTAAGCATGACGTGTAACGTGCTCGTGCGCACTGGCGCGCGAGTGGGCTTGTCAAGTGGTATCATTTTGTATTTCGCGAGAATTTGTAGTTAGCAGAAAAACACTAATAAACAGATTCGAAACTGTCTTATCGGACGTTTTGCGAAGCCGAGCTACAACTTTCTCATAGAAATTTTTATCCATCTTCCCGTTTCTTGAAAAGTTAGTTAATTACACAGATCTAATTAGACAATATTTTAGAACACAAAAAATAGCCTGACTAAGAGTTCGACATCCAACGTCCAGTTGCTTGCTGAAATGAGCAGCAAGAAAAGCAAGATCGGTGGCGTACGGCAACGGTCAGCAACATGCATTTCGTCGTGTCGTACTTGCGTGTGTCAGCATATTTTAAAACTGGCTAAAGACAGCTGGGCCACCCTGTATAAGGCAGGAAGGGAAAGATGGAAACGTGCTATGTAAAAATCTGTAAACATGTTTCTGTGTACTCAAGCCGATCTTTTCTACAATAG